AAAAAAAAAAAAAAACTACGAATTTTCCAGTCTGGTAGCACGGCGAATGATGGAAAAATTTCGCACATTTTTTGAGTTTTGACAGAATTGTTAGATAATCAAGCAATCTTAGCTCAAATAATACCAGATGCGATGAGCGCCAAAAAATTAGTTAAAACCCGAAAAAAACGTATTTCAATCGGTTGCTGTTTACTTATTTGACGTATTTTAATTTTTGATACAATGCTTGACCCCTGGGAAGCTCAAGGATTCATTTCCTATCATGATTTTGCTGTCGAGCTATTTAGAGCGGGAATTAACTTCATGTTTCTGAATTTGGCATACTGTTACTTTATTGACGATGAGAGACTTGGAATTATAAAAGTTCAACCCGGTCTCCTAGTTTGCGACATAGAATAACTGCTATTATATTAGTGGCTATTATTGTACGTCGGCGATCGTGAGGGGGAGAGGGGAGCGCAGAAAGCATGTGTTGCGGAAATAAATTGACGCTCGCCCGAGGCCCACGCGTCATTTTGAATCTCGCGCGCTTCGAAAGTCAAACTCGCACGAAGCGCTGATTGGGTGCCCACACGATACAGCGCGAAACTTCATCCACCAACCACGGCTTGACGTTCTAGTTTTGGTTACTGATAAGAAATGAAATGTTAGGTTATGTCCGAGACTGATTACGAAGTATGTGATGAAAAGAAAGAAAGCGCATAAGTATTTTCTAAGAGAAATTCTTCTCAACGATCAGTTTTAATTCGACTTGACAATCAGCGACAAGTGTTTTTGTTCTAGCACTGTAATTTAATTTTCACTCCTTTGTTCCGAAGTTCGGTTGATTATCCACCACCTAGTGTCTGATTGACATTCCATTCCTATCAAAAGGTGGTGATATAATGGTGTTGGATTCATTGTGTGATCCCTGGAATGCTCAGGATGGAGAAAGTCAGTCAGTGAGTGAAAGTAGTACATCAAAAGAGCCACAGGAATTTGAGGATAATTTTCATGTGAATAGTAATCGTCTGCCCGACTCTGATGAGTACATTGCTGCTCTAGGTAATTATGATTTACATCTCTGGAGTACATAGTAATTTAACTGTCCATACACCTGATGGATACTGTTAAATTCTGAAGTCTTTTTCTTTCCCAGGCTGCATCTCTCTTTTGTAATTATGCTTGTTCCTAAGGTGAAAACCGAGGTTTTAGTTCCATGTATCACCACCGTCGCCACAATTTTGATATTTGACTCCTTGAGGGTTTCATACTAGTTATTTTTATGAAATCGAAAGATTGAAAAGTAGTTAGCTTTGTCCCTTAACAATGTCTCATCAATTTTTAAGCAAAATACCTCAAAAATAAAGGGCAAAGCTCAGTGGCAAAAATTTCATCACTCGATCTCGATATCACCAGTGGATGAGTGAAATTTTTCTACAACACTTTCGTCTTTCTATTTGAGATCTTTCACGCCTTGAAATTTTATCAAATACCCTTTAACTTGTATCCGTTTCGAGAAGAATCAATTTTCTGAATGTAGCAAGAATGAAATCGTCTGTTACCAGATCAGATAATGTCAGATCTTCTGGTCTGCCGCAGACCATGGTATTTAAACATCAAGCAATTTTCAAAAGCAATGATCTTTTTAAATCAATTTTTACTTTTTTGACGCATCACTTTATAGGTAAGTGAGGCAAATGGCACATTTTGGCCAAGGTGGATTGTAACGTTATAAATCGGATACTTTATACTGTGAGGCAAATAGGAAATTTAGGCATGAGGCTAAAATACTAAAACGCAGTGGACAGTTAGTGTTTCAGGACTTCATGCACCCCTGATAATTAGCCCTATGTATCAAAATAGTGGTGACACATGGAACTACCAGCCTTGGATTCTCTTTCAATTTTGAGACATCAGAGTATTATATTAGTATTTTACATCTTTCAGGGTCATCTTTCACTGTGCTGTAAATCAAATTTTACGGATTTTTTTCTGATCATATTACTGAAAAACTTATAAATTTCTGTTGCAGAAAAAAAATTGTCAAAGCTCAAAAGTTCCAAGCAAAGTAGCTCTGGGGACTCTGGGACTAAGGAACTTTTGGCTTCATTGCAAGAATTCCGCGAATCCTGCATGGTGCGATTGATCTCTGGCTCAAACTCAGCACTCATATCCAACACAGATCTAGATCTAGATTCTTCTTTACCGAAACTACCTTCCCAGTGGTTGCGCAATCAAATCAACCCTGAAACGCCACTAACCGTGGGAGAAGCTCTAGAGTTATTGAAAGCAGATTATTTAGAATTAAATCATATTGAAACAACTCAGCAGGAAATCTCAGAGCCGGAAAACTGAAACTTCAACCTCAACTCAACTGAAATTGATTGCAGATCGTACAGTAAGTATTTAAGGAGCTCTCTCCTTTTATTTGTGAAGATGATTAACCACAAGGTCGTTGTATCATGTAATAAGAAGCAAAGGGATTTGTAGGGTAAAGATGATTGTAAATGTTTCATGAACACCATCTGTCTATCAAATTTCAAGAATTTTTTAACTTTTTCTCCCTACCTATCATCATGAACATGAGTCCCAAGGGAACGTACAAATTCTGTGGCTGATATTTCAGATATTGTCTCCTGAAATTAGTATCACAAACGCCTTTTCATTACTGCTTTTGGATTCCGCAGAGCTTCAGACACTTTTATCTTTGAAAATAATGGTTTTTTGTTAAATTAAAGTTATCGAATTCTTTGGAAACCTGCCAGAACAAAGAAAAACGCATATGACAAGTGCCATTTCTGGTGAAAAATATCACAAGCGCCTAGTTTGGCAATGGTGAGAAGCTTTTAATATTTTCTTTTACTTCGTCGGTTTTGTTTAACGTTAAGAGTTGAGCAGTGAACAAATATATCACAGCGCCAAAAGACATCCTTTTAGATCCGTTACTTAGCTCATAGAATTCTCTTAGAATGCAGGATCACAAGCGCCATGTAAAAAATTGTTTTTTCCTTAAACTATTATTTAATTGTTATTGGTGAGGGCATTTTATGCCTGTGTCCTGAAACTCAAGCAGAAGTAACATTTTTAGCAACTATAAATCAGTTTTTTGTGTCTCCTGCTAAGTTGATGTTTTGGTGCTTGTAATATTCTTGTCAGAAGGGTTGATATGCGCCTCTGAATGTTGGCAAAAATCAGGTCACGCACCACTTAAGGGCATTGAGGGCGGCCCCTTAAAAAAATCTGAAATTTATGAACAGGTGCAAAGCTTCAAATACTTGAAAGAAAGTGCAACTAAAAAATTTGATATTCTTGAACTTGAAACCTTGCTTTTAAGTCACCATCTCTGAGCTCACTCATCGTACTTTCAATCATTGTGCAAGTACTTCACTGTTACATTTTTCATGATTTTTAACCTCTGGCTCTGTTCACAAGGTTTAAATATTAATTTGACTTGCTTCATGCCAACTCGTTTTACCTCCACTGAGATTTAATTGTTGCTTTCTTTCATTTTAGATAATGCCAGGATCATCTTTTTGGGGTCAAAAAACCTGCTTGGTTGTAACTGGTGCGAGCCAAGGGATCGGCCAATTTTTTGCCTGCGAGCTGTCAAAATTGTTAGGTGCCAATTCAAGTGTAATAATAATAGCCAGGTCTGTAAGTGGACTTGAGGAAACAAGAAAAAGAATTTTAGAAGCTAATCCTGCAGTTAAAGTCAAAGTAAGTACTCCGCATAATGCCTTTGCCCTTCAGCTGTTTCATATTTTTTTCATAGAGTTTAATCAATAGTCAATGGACTGTAATATTTATATGAACTTAACTCTACTTGCCCCGCCTCAATATTTAATAATGAACAGGAACTAAAAAAAAATTATTCTACCTACCCTGCAATATTTGAATCTCTTAGTTCAAAAACGGCCCAATTTGGGTTTTTCCCGGCATTCATTTTCTTCCGTAGAAATGCTCCTTTTGTAGCTGTAACACAGTTTTTATCGTCTCCTGACAAATTCCATTGTTCCAAGATGGGTCGTTCTTGAACTAAGAGATTTGTTCATAATCCTCTAAATTTGTATTTAGCTATTCTTGTAAAGACTGGAATAGCGTATTTTCTTTAGAAAATCGATTATGATAATTAAAATCACAATTTTTGAACTTAGGCCTTCAGCCTCTCAAAAATGAAATGCAACATTTCATAATTTTTTTATCCTCTTTATTTTTTTTTTATTTTTATTAATATTGTTTGATAACTCTTAATTTCTTTTTAATATATGACAGGTTCACCAAACAGACTTGAGCAAAGTGAATCTAGAAGAATACGCAACTCTTTTCAGTGCAGTAGACCCTGACATCTCCTTATCTCTCTTCATACACAATGCAGGGTCTCTTGGTGATTGCACAAAACTTGCGGTCGATATGAAGGATCCTGATGAATGGAACAGGTATTTTTACCTAAAGTAATCAACTTAACCTTTAGTTTTTACAAACTAATTTTCACCCAAGATCCAGATCTTAAACAGTGAATAAAAATTTCAAGATTTTTTACACTTATGAATTGTTGGCCCATATAGATGTCACCAAAAATTGCAGGAGACAAGTATTGCCCTAGTTTTTCTTATATTAGTTGAAAGTCACAATAATTCATTAACTAAAAACTAAATTAACAAATTTTTCTTGGGGGAAAAAATTGCAATTTTGGATACCTCTATTATTTTTCTGAACTATTGAAGGAAACATTTGCCCCACAACAGACATTGTTCATGTCGTAGGTAGTACTGTAAATGTCCTCACTCTCATATTTTTAAGTGTTCGGAGTTAACTGGTAACTGTATGGGCAGTCTTACTTTAACATGAAATTTGAGAATCAACCTTCGACTTCTGTGATAAGAGTGTTCAAACTGACGACTTCTTCATAAAGAATCCCTAGGATAGAAGGAGTATCGTGAGGCTCTCCAACCATACTTCTCAATCATCTCAATTTTGCCTTGTAATGTTTTAATAATGTATTCAGACATTCGAGAAGTTTCCAATTTTGCTTTGGAAAGGAGTGGAAATTGATTCCTGTAAAATTTGTTTTTCAGAAACTAATCTGTTGTGATTATGTGTGTTTTAGTTTCATGGCATTAAATCTTTACTCTGTGACTGCTCTGACCTCAGAATACATGAGACGGTTACAAAAGAGTAGCTGTAAAAAAGTCTTTGTGAATATTACTTCATTGGCTGCAATAGAACCGATCAAATCTCTTGGATATTACTGCATTGGAAAAGCTGCTCGAGAAATGTACTTCCGGGTTTTAGGCGCAGAAAGTTCTGACTTGCGTGTTTTGAACTATTCCCCTGGTGAGTTACATACTGCATTGATTATGCTTTGAACTTTATTTTATGCCATGAAATTAGCGCCTAGAACAGCTAGCCAGCGAGTCCTCCCCCCTCACCTATTCTGTAAACGTTATCTATTTCCACTATCAATGTTAGGTATTCCCTGAAATGAACTGTAGAAAACTATTCAAAAACTTGGATTTCTGAAGACTAACTTTCTTTCAGAAGTTAAACCTGTTGATCCCTACATTACATTATCCTCTTACGGTACGAATCTTCCCACAAAAACACTTTAAGCATTAATATTCGCCTATTTGTTCGTTTTTAAATGTTTTCTTTTTACTTTCCTAGCCATTTAGGAGGATTAATTTTTTTATGATTTTCATTTTCTAGGACCAATTGACACCAACATGGTCTCTACTCTTTTGGACAAAATCAGAGATGAAGAAGTCAAGAATGCTTTCAGCTCCATGAAGGAAACCGGCACTTTAGTGAAAGTGGAGCAGTCGGCAGAAAAACTCATCAGAGTACTAGAGACTGATACCTACAAATCAGGCGGCCGTGTTGATTTTTATGATACTAATTGATGGTGATGATTAAATTTTAATATCTTTTCTTTCCTTTGCCAGGACTATTTAATTATTCACGTTTTAATCTTTTTACATCTGCAAGCATTTATCCTTGTAACCCTAGAAGACGCTTCATGTTGAAAGGTCTATATTTGTTATTGCTTGTTTCCCTCCCCTTGTAACTGTTTCGTAAATATCTTAAACAAAGTTTCAATTTTATCTTCAGCGCCAATGATTTTTAGGATAGGTGTGGTTGTTTCTTTTTTCGTTATTTATTCTAATCAGTATGACAGCATGACAGCACAGTGTTTAAATCATCATCATTAGAACCTGAGCCGTAAGACACTGAGTTTATTGAATAACATTTGGCAATAACAAACCACCTACTACAAATTTGGGTGACATTAAAGAGCAGTAAATGTTTTTATATCATTCGATTTAGTTGTAGACATCAGTGATCAGTATTTGGGTCAAAGCTCAGCTGAAGGAACTAATTTTTCCTTCATGATGCACTCCATCCAAAGTTAGGGTGAAGTTCCTCCTCTCATCTTTCAACTTGATAATCCTCATTCAATACTACATCAATTTCCTTTCTAATTCTCATGCTGTATCTTAAAGGATGTCAAAAATAAAAATGTTCTCTTGCTCTCTATATGTATGTTACATCTGAACTTTTATGTGATAAATTTCTTGATCTTTTCTAAGAAGATGTTTTGCATGTTATTTCATTGATTTTAATATCCTATAGAGATTTCAGTTTTTTGTTTCTTTTTGTTTTTTAAAATTGTGACCAAGCATCAGAAAAGAATCTTAGTCCACAGAGGCAAAAGTTTCAGTAGAATGTAAGCAGCAAGAAGCAAGCAACCGCAGCACTGATTCTACATTCGTTTTGGGAATTAAGGTCCTTGTGAACATTAAAATTCCATTTAGAAAAATAGCAAATTTTTTTTATTAAAAGTACATATTTCAACTTTTGGATATTCATGTGTAATACACTGGAGTATACATGTAAGATCAGTAAGTTGGAAGTTGTATTGCAAGTTGGGTCACAAACCGAAAAACTTTAAGCAAATTCTCTGTTACACATTGGGTAACGACTTGCTCTTGTTTTTTTCTAAGGCGGTTCTGCCTTTCAGAAAATACCTTATCTTCCTATAATGATTTTTACTTTCTCGCTCCCCAGTTTTAACTTTTTAGAGAGCTTTTTGATTTTTTCTCAAACTTTTATGCAAAGAAAATTAAAATAATACCCTGCAAAAATTCCTTACCACTGCTCAGTTCCATAGAGGAGGGACAGTATTGTTTTGATGTCATTTATTGCCTCCTTCCATTGAAAGACAATATTAGCATCCAGATTTTCAGAGCAAAAATATAATTGAAACTCTTCAAAAGATAAGGTTTGGAAAATACAGTAGTGATGATTTCTGAACTTACTTTTTGTACAAATTCAGATAAAATCACGCGGCTATTTTTTTTCACTTTCTTTCTTTGATTGTTGTGATTTTGATGAGTCTCTTGAGGTTGTCACGAGACCTAGACCGATGAAAATGAGGGCAGAACCACTCCACCAAAGGAGGGATGTTGTCTCTCCAAATAACATGCATCCACTCAAAGCCTATGTAGAAATGAGAAAGTGTAAAAATAAAAAATAAATTCGTTCAAAAGCAGGTGTTATGATAATGGACTGCAGGTCTGTGGTGCCATAATTTGTGATACCATCAAACCAACAGAATAATTCAAGTATTTTTCAAGATGGTCAGGAAGTGTAAAGTGTAACACGGAAAGAAACCTGTGTTCTCTCAAAGCTAGATGGGGAAAATGAGAGATGAGATTTTCCAATTTTCTTTGATGTATCAACACCATAGTCGGCAAACAGTTCATACAGCTTGCTTTAGATTAAGGTCAAGACGAGGAGAAGCTTAAAAGCTGAGGTTTGAGGTTGAAAAATTACAATTGCAAATAATCATAAACTAGGTTGATTTTTTTGGAAAAAGGTTAAGTACGTATTTTCACCCAAATAACTTCAATGATGTATAATGATTGCATGAAAAGATACAATATTGCAGGGTCCTAGGTATACAAAAACAAAGAAATCTGAGTTAGTATCAAATTACGAGGGGCGTTCAATAAGTAAGTATCCCCCCTCTCTAAAATCCATTAGAATGAACCAATTTTAAAAAAACTTGGGCTCAAAATCTTCCTTAGGATATTTTGAGTTCAACAAAACAAACCGCAACAAAATCGGACCATGTCCGGCCGAACGCGAGCCGTTTGAACGCGCCGAGGTGCTCGACGCTCCCGCCGAATCCGCGAGGATTTGAAGTCCGCTACAGGAGAAGAGCTTCTCTGCCAAAGCCTCAGTCGTTCATCACTGACGAAAAATCAAAGAAATTTTTGTAGAATAAGGGGCTTACCTCACTTCTCCACATAACCAGCTCGATCCAAGCAAGTCTGATACTGAGACTAAGAGAACAGCTTTTGGATGCCTCGCGCGTGGAAGTCTTTCAGCTGACCGGGGATGAAAGAGTGGACGGCTTGTTTGATCTCTTCCCTGATTCAACATTAACTCCTCCGAGTTCAGATTTGAGGAACGGGAATAAATGGTGGTCTGGTTTGCCATTTATTATCGTATCTGAAATCTGAACTCGGAGGAGTTAATGTTGAATCAGGGAAGAGATCAAACAAGCCGTCCACTCTTTCATCCCCGGTCAGCTGAAAGACTTCCACGCGCGAGGCATCCAAAAGCTGTTCTCTTAGTCTCAGTATCAGACTTGCTTGGATCGAGCTGGTTATGTGGAGAAGTGAGGTAAGCCCCTTATTCTACAAAAATTTCTTTGATTTTTCGTCAGTGATGAACGACTGAGGCTTTGGCAGAGAAGCTCTTCTCCTGTAGCGGACTTCAAATCCTCGCGGATTCGGCGGGAGCGTCGAGCACCTCGGCGCGTTCAAACGGCTCGCGTTCGGCCGGACATGGTCCGATTTTGTTGCGGTTTGTTTTGTTGAACTCAAAATATCCTAAGGAAGATTTTGAGCCCAAGTTTTTTTAAAATTGGTTCATTCTAATGGATTTTAAAGAGGGGGGATACTTACTTATTGAACGCCCCTCGTATTTACTGTAATGTATACAATTCTGGTTCATAAGTAATTCTGTAAGTCCTTTTTTTTTTTTTTTTTTTTTCAAAAATTGAAACTCACCGAGATTATATAATTGGATGCTGTGCTAATAAGGGTTGGTGGCAAAGATGAGCTGCATGATTGCAAGGCTGTGGCGTAAAATTTCCAGACAAAAGCGTTACAGAGAAGCATCATTCCAAGAAAACATAGCTGGACCATGTAGTTCAAAGACTGCAACAGTTTTGAAAATAAGAGGTGAGTAAGCTAATGACAAGGAAAAAAATGCCCAAAGACAATAGAAGAAAAAAAAGTGTTCGTAAATCTTTTCAATCTTGTAAGCTACCTGAATCATAAGAGACAAATCCTGTTAACTCCTAACGATAATAAAGAACCTATCTACTATTAAATTGCATCTGCTACCTAAGGTAGCCTGTTAATCTAGAACCAAAAACAATACTAGAGTAGAGTGCGATTTGGGCTGCAATACAGATTCAAACTTGAATCGTATAATATCTTGGCATTTCACTGCAATTACAGTTAGAAATTCTCATTGTCAGTCTTCCTGGGCTTGATGGATGAGATTATACTTATTCTGTCAATTTCAAAATGAAAATATTTTTCATGACCCTATAAAAAATTTAAAGACAGAAACTTACTTACCTGCGAAGAGCCAGGGAAAAATACCATCCCTGAGAGTTTACCACACACACTTCCTCCAGCAGCGCAACTGCCTGCGATTACTGCTGATCTTACAGCACTTTTAGAGATTGCCATAATGGGATACGTCGACCAGATACTTGGTAAAATAGTTGTTGATAAAACGTTTGGCTTTACAGTAACATAATTCAAACCCAAAATAGGTATTTAGTAAGTAGGAAAGCGCTTGATCACTTTGGAAGTTTAGAGGCAAAATTCAAATTCAAAACAAGTTAAGGTGAGCCAAATTAAAGTATCCCAACATTCCTCTGAGTGTTTCAAAAAACACTCATATGGGTTCTATGCAGTGGAACTTCGATAGGACACTTAGCACTCACTGAAATCCGTGCCAGACGCCAATGCTGAAGCTGAAACATTGAAAATCAACACAGACCCACGTGCAAATGAGTGTTTATTAGATCGGCTGACATCGTCGCTCCACCGATTTCCACTTGAGCCATAAAACTATCAAGTCTAAGGGACAGTGAAGCTCATTAAAAATGCTTTTACGTCCTCACATGACAATAAAATCATGGTAAAATCAAATGACAATTCGTAACTAACTACAACTAACTGATAACTGATAGCACGGTGGTGTAGTGATAACACGATACATGTTCAGGTTTTTCATTTTGCAGAGATAACCCCATGAGGAGCTCAGATATTCTTGCAGGCAACGGTTTGATTTCGGGGGTAGCCAACGTTGAAAAGTTACTTCTGCAGCAGAGTAATTCACCACGTTTACATTACAGACTATTGACTAGAGTCCCTTTATACCCAGAGTTAAGACAACTCGATTATCAGCTGACTGGCAGCCGGCCTTGGCTGGCCATGGAGGCCGAAACGAGTGCACCCAAACGCACGATATTGAGGGGTAAGGATCAGGAATCCTGCGATGTCTGTCACACAAAAACAACAACATCAACAAATTGATCAATTAAAAAGAAAATGAGATTGGTTTGTGAGTAATTTCTTAATCTCTTTTCATTTTGGACCGATGGAAATGACAATTTACTCTTGATAAACCACAATTAGGTGATATTTTCATTATTCTTGTTCACATTCGAGGTACCGCCATCTTGGTGCACTCGTTTCGGCCTCCATGAGCGAGAACCAATCAGAATTGGATTTTTTTTTAGGCCACTTTCAGCCGAACCAAAAGTGAGTTGTCTTAACTCTGGGTATAAAGGGACTCTACTATTGACAAACAAACCGCCATGCCATGTTTGATCAGTTATTTTCTTGAATCGTGTCACTTTTTTCATGAATCAACGTACTTTTATCTGTGTTTTCCTTCGATCCCGTATCTCTGCAACTAATTTTCGCACGGCCCAACTCCTTGATCTCTCACGCTCAATTTCATTTAATTGCAAGTCTTGATAATGTCTGTCAGTGATCCTTTACTGAAGGAATTGAAGGGTGAGTTGAAAATAAGCACTTGGAATTTAAAGCACATGCATTTTGGTGATTTTCAATTCCTACAACGGTTAAAAGGAGAAAGTAATCTGCCCAAGAATCAAAAAGGCTCTCTGGTGCCACTTAGGTATTACAGACGCCACAGACAGCCGCCATTGGTGCCGAGAGAAATGCTTTGGTTCTACATGATCCCACCAAGTACGCCTAACATTTTTGTGATTGGATTTGAGAAGAATAATAGTTTTTTTCTAAGATTGAGGACACTCTCACTCAGAAATGTTTTCTGACCTAAGTAGGTAAGGTAGGTAGGCGGATCTATTTCCAGATTCGCCTATTAAGAGAGGTAAACGCAAAACAGGAGATAATATTGTCTGCTTCAGAGCATCTAAAAACCATTAACAACCAGACTTTCATAACATTGACCAGTGCAGCATATTTCTAGAATAATAGCTGGTAGGTTAGAGGAGTCAGGCGTGACCTTAACAAGAAATTTAATGTTCAGAAGGTTAAAAATGCCAGTAAAACTGACGTATGAAACTTGGCAATTCCCTAATTGTTCTCCGTTGGACATGGAAATGATGACCGTTATTCTACTTAGAGAAGCGCAAACAACCGATTAAAGAATTCCTATTGGAGCTGTAACTAAATTTGACTTTTTTGGTGACACTTCATAACTAACCTTTATGGCAAACAATCTTGTATGTATTTTTTCCGGTAAAGTGATTTAGGATGGTTTTTCCGCCACAGGTACCAATAGACTCTGGATTAGACCAGCTGAATATATTTTGCTCCACCTGTGGCCAATGCACAACACACCTCCACTCAATGTGTGTCTGTTACCTGTTTTTTGAAGACTGAAACATTGAGTTGCAGATGTCAGGATATCCGTCTCATATGCTCCCTGCTTCATTTCTGTTTTAATCGTTCTTCCATATTGGACCAACTCTTAAAAATGAGCTCCAGGAAAAAAGTTTATGTTGCTTTTGATATCATGCCTACCGTTTACCAATTAAGTTTTGATGCCCCAATGATTTTAAATTCATTTAGAGATAGACATTACGTACAAGCTGTCAGAGCCTAGGATAGGCACTATGTTGCCAGGCTGAAAAGTTCTTTTACTATTCTGTACCAACATAAGCAGAATACTTTTAAGCCCATACACTTACATCTGTCTCACAGTTTCTCTCTGTTTTTCTTTCTAGGCCACACCTTAATGCTGACAAAAGCTGCCAGTCCTATCAGTGACGAAAATTCAAACTTAGAAGCATTCTGCCAGTGCTTGGAAAAAATATTTCAGAAAGGTCTCATCACTCAACACAATGCGCTTGGCTTTTACAAATCTCCTGAGAGTTGGGATTGGCTCAGAAAAGTTGGCTGTAAAAGGTACAACTTCTCCCTAGAAGAGTATTTCGTTTTTTATCTAATAACTGAAAACAACTCCTTCTATATTTTAACAACAGAGAACAAAAAATCAAAAATACCAAGTACTAGTTCTTTGAGTCATAATACTTTGAGGTAGGACAGAGCACTCTTTGTTACAGCCTGGACTCTGTTCCTACTCATAATCTTTTTCAAATTAATATGCAATTTTATTTAAAACGTTACCACCGATAAATTATTTCACACAAGTTTTTTTTCAAAACTCTCGTAATGATGTCGCAGAGTGGTGTCCAGTTTTGCCGTAGAGAAAAAAAAGGAGGTGTTTGTATCTTGAGAATTGTGTACCCTGTGCTGTAGGTCAACCCAACCTTGTCAGCAAAATCCGGAATTCAAAGTGTGAAAAACGGATCATAACTTCCGATTTTTTTGCTTAATCAACTCATGATATAATTTTAAACACTTTATGTAAAATGCATTTTTTCCATAAACTACACCATTTCCAAGAAAATCGATGATAAAAGTCACCATACTCATCCATGTTTTTTCATCCATGTCATCAAAAAAGTCCAAGATGCCCAAAATGCAAACACCTCTTTTTTTTCTCTTTGCAGTTTTGCACTTTAAAACCTCTTTAAATGTCAATTTAAAAAAATTACTGTATTTTATTTCACATTCACACTTATTTTTATTAATTCTTTTAATTATAGAGGTCCATACAGCTATCAGTCATCTGTCAGTTTTGTAAATGAATGTACCAAAGTTACCAGTAGCCGTGGCAGACTAAGACTCCTCATTAGAATGTGTCTAAATCAAAGATGTATACATGTTCCCATTCAGCTACTGGTATGTATTGTTCTTAGTTTTGATTTTGTGCCCAAAATGGTGCTTTGATTCTTTGAAAATTTTCAATACTTTGGCGGGCATTTCTTTTAAACTAAATGAAGATTTCAAGTCCGCACCAAGGATGTTCCGTTCTGTACGATGCATTCCACAAGAGGGTTACTACTTTTGAAAAAAATCAGAGTGAGCGTATCATTCCCCCCAAAAAGACCCTTTTTTAACATTCCTCCTTTTTCAGAAAAGTACGCGTAGTATTGTTTCCTTTTTTTGTAATTCAATGGATGTACCATAAACTTCATCTTTCTCTGTAATAAGTTTATTATAAAGAAATCCAGCCATTATGAGACTTTCACCATGCCTTGAATAGAGTTAGTCACTGCCGATCAATATCTCATAGAAAGAGGCTGGATGCTACATATTGACGGTGAAACTACCAGACCACGTATCTGGGTTTGCGATGTTGTAGACTTCCTGTCAAACTTTATTTTTCAAATGGAAAACTACTCAACGTCAATGTTCGAAAACTTCCATGTTTTTTTCTCCTCATGCAAAGAAAACTCTGTAAAAATTTTAAGAACTGATATCGATCTGTGCTCCTTCACAAAACTAAAATTGGAGTGGAGATTTTTAAACACCGCAAACAAGATACATGGTCTGGTAGTTTCACTGTAGATATTTAAAAGTCATTGAAACATACTTCAAGCAAATCGGATGGAGATGGGATCATAACATCATGCATTTTCAATATCTTATTTTCTTAAGTTGAAAATTATATTTCATATTTTCTCATCAACTAGTCTTACTTGGTAATTAATATGACAGCCTCTCCTCCTTTTCATGAAGAAAATCAATTCCCCCCCCCCCCCCCCCCAGGAAATAGACAAAAAAGTAAAGGACTTTTCAGCAAGTATCATATTTAAATTTCCTCACATCTGCCCAGAGATTTTTGCAGTTGCTTCTGAGAAATTTTGTCTGTCTTAAAGCATTCCTTTCCTTTATTTCACAGAATGAGCTTGAAGAGAGCTTAAAGTATTATCAATCACGTCAATCAATCATTGGTGATGAAGTCTTACGAGAAATTTTCCTATCGGTCCTAAGATTGTGTAGTCGCCTTCAGTTTAAGTTAAACATAAGCAATGCAAGATTCCTGGATGAAACTTGGATCCTGCCTGTTTACCGCAAGCTTCAACTAGTACCTTGCAAGGAACTTGGAGTGTCTGTTCTGTGAGTACATTCACATTTTGAACCCAGTAGGTACTTTAAATGAGGGGTTTTCTCTTTATCTAAATTATCCATGTTATCTTGAGAATTCTTCTCTCTCAGCATATTTTTTGCTGCACATGCTCATGAGCTAAACTGCAAAAATTCAATTTCTTAGCCTATTTGCAGGCGCTAAACCTATTTTTAATGTAAAACTTCTATGAAAACATTTTTGGGTCTATTAGTCTCGCATTATGTTTTTTTATTTTTATTCTTTTTTTCCACCTCTGTTTTACATTTCTTTCATAATGTTATAGCTGTCCTTAATATATATCAGGAAGCTATCCAGAAATGAAGCCTCTTATCCTTTAAAGCTCTTTCAATCTGTAGGGAAAATGAATCCATTTGTGGAAAAACATTTGATTACATTTTTTAGAATTGCAAGATTGCTCACCCCACAACACTTGATGTCCTCATTAAATTTTTAATCATATTTTTGAGACTTTGAAGATAATATTCTACATTTTTAACAGCATAGACCAATTAGTTTGCAAGTTACAATCAAATCGCCCAACGCAAATTTTAAAATATAAATTTGACTTGAAATTTTTCACACAAGCTAATTTTAGTGCTCTCGGAGTGCAAACAATTTATCAATTCAAAGTAAAACATTTCTGACTTTTGCAGATTCATCAATTCCCGAGCGGTCGTTGTGGATGTTCAAGAAGAAAGTGTAGCATCAGAAGATGTAAGTATTTATCTTATATTTTTTTTTCACTAAAACAAGGTTTAGGGTCTTCACTGGGTTCTCTAATACATTATACCATTTATTGATTGAAGTTACCACAGGTACAGGGAATGTAGGATGATGGAGCTCTCACATGCCACACAGATTTGCAGATTAAGTAGTTTCTCTTTGGAAAAATGTGAGAAACACAATGGTGATAATGATTTTCCCTAAAACAAACTCTCAAGCTTAAGAAAACTCTTAAAAAATTGAGGCTTTAATGGAGCGGATTGCTGATGTTATCAGATTGCTGCCTTGGGGTCACTACACAAAGTGGCGACCATGCTAATTTATTGGCTTTCTATCTGTGCATGGAGAATGTGACTGGGTTTAATGACGAACTCACTCCTGGACAATTTCCTCCATTACAAGCGTCAACATCAAGAGGGTTTTTTTTTAATTTACCAATTTATTTGCTCAGAAAGTATGTATACTTTTGAATAGACAAATTTAGTGGTGACGTCACGGAGCGATATTGTTGGTTCGATATATCGAAAGTCGAAATGTGCCCCAACAAACAAACATAACCTCCAAAATGAACAATTGACGAAATAATGCTGAAACTGCCTGAAAATAAAAAATTGCTCCATGGGACTTTAAAAGTATGAAAGCTAGCCATTTACAAAAACGTTCGAGATCACAATCACAAGAATTGACTGTATAATAAGCTCGTAATATCAGTGACAGTCATAAAGCGAATCCCCCTACCCCCCCTGCCTAAATCCCGCAGATTCCTATATGTTCGTTTGTTGGGGCATGTTTCGACTTTCGAGATATCGAAATTAAATCGAGATGTGACGTCACACTAAATTCGTCTATATGCTCTGCCTCAAATTCCTAATGTTTTAAGAATCATTAAAATCATGATATTTGTGTAAGAAAACAAACACAAAAAAAATTAGTAAACAAGAATGAGAAACACATCAAAATGCCTGGGACGTCTCTGGGTGGTTTCAACTCCCTTGTTAACCAGGAAACAAAAAATAAGAAAATAAAATTAGCCAACAAATAAAAAAATGAAGGTCCTCTGTTGTTGACAGTAAGTAAAAAGATGATCCTTTAAACTTCTCGGACCAAAACCAATCCATACAGGTCAGTCATTCCTGCGGCAGAGTTTTGAGACCCTTCTGCGCTTTGGCAGGGGGAAGTTTAAATGCGATGATTTTCTCATGGGAGAAGCCGATGCCACATGATACTAGCTGCAGTCAAGGGAAGACTGTGTAAGGAAATGGACTTCGAAAAGATGCACAATGACTGACTTGTGTAGATTGGTCTTGCCTCTGAAATATCTCTGATAGGAAGGTATAATCTAGTGTTCATTTCTTCACAGCATAATTATTTTTCATTTTCTTCACGGCATATTCTGTCTTGATAGAATTATTTTTTAAATGTTGATAAATATCAGAGTGAAAATGAATCATCCATCTCATCCTTACTGAACTTGTTATATTTATTAAAAACTTGGTTTACAGGACAATATTTGTGTCGGTGACATCATCGATGAACTGAATGATTTCTGTATCGATAGCTCCCAAGTTGGGAACTTACAGAACATTATGCGTCATCATACAAATCAACCAATCTCTATTTGTCTTATCAAACCAGTTTTAAACAATGCCATCTTTCCACCAATGATGTCCCTCCTCTGTCAGGCAAACCTGGACCCTGTTTCAATCCAATACGGGAAAAGCTCAGTATCCAATTTATCACGGACACCTTCTCGTAACAGGTCTGTATCACAGCAGTCATCGTTAATCAATCCAAAAGAATATAACCAATATAAAAGACCTATATTTTGTCGAGGGTTTGAAATTTTCAAAAAATAGGAGACCCTTTTTAGTGTTCACTTCGAAGGGGTGGACAATTTCCTTCTCAAATTAATGGAGAAAATAGCTCATAAGAAAACACATTATGGCAACTCCGATTCCCAACTTAGACAGGAGCTCTCTCTGACAAATATTACTACAGTAACGATGAGATTGATCAGAAAGATGCGCTACAGTTTGAGGTATAGAAGACGAATGAACATTAGTTGCAACTTGCTTGCCGAGGATGATGGGCAGTAGCCTATCGAAGCAATTGTCTGATTAACAACAAAGATAAAGGAATATGGACCGTGTCAAGCAGAAAAGAACCAATGCATGTCAGCTATTTTCAAATTTATTGGGCAATTCAATTTTTTACATGATAACGGTTGTGCGGATTTTTGTGCAATTTTCAGTGAATTTGCCGCATAAAGGCAAATTCCTTGAAATCTTCCAAGGAATCTACACAAGTATTCTCTTGTAAAAAATTGGATTGTCTTGTCATATTTGGCAATAGCTGATGTGGCTTGGTTCCTCTCTGCTAAACATGGTCCATTTACTAGTTATCAAAAATCGTGCGACTTTATGCCTAGTTATAACGATATTCCTTGTATATATTTCAATTCCTTTCTACATTATAAGAGCAAATTGGGTTGTGTAAAATGCTGTTAGGCTAATTTCAGTTGGATCAGTTCATGAAACATCGCTTTCATGTACATGTGTTTTTCTGTCAACTAGTTTTGTTTTATTTTCAGGGCTGGTCATTGTGTAAGATATATAGGTAATATATCAACCGGTGATAATGGTGATGTGAAACGAATTCACTCGGCGATAGACTCAACATTGAACAGATGTGGTGAATTGGTCGGAGTCTCTTGTTGGTTTGACTGCTTGGAACTGGAAGTTCAAGTTACGTGTCAAGAGACAAATGAAGTTCTCCTCAAGCATTCGTATACAGAAATCTCATCTTGCGGTAGAACAGTCAACCGGCCAAATTACTTTGCTTATATCGCAGGGAATACATTGCTCAGCTTAAGTAAACAGTTCACATGCTATGTTTTTAGTATGAATGATGTGTCTGAAATAGATACCATTCTTCAAAATATAGGTGAGTTTCTGTGGCTTTCTAACTCATGTTATTTAAAGAAAGAAAAAAAAAAGAGAAGTTGTGTCATGGATGGAGCTCTTACATGCCACAGGGATAATTTTAAGTACTTTTTACTGTATAAAATTTTGTGAGAAACCGGATCATGCAACTAATTTTCTCGGAAACAATCTTCCAAGCTCAAAAATAACTCTTAAAGTTGAGACTGTGATGGAGGGTATCGTCCACATCGTGATGTTTAATGCATAAGTATGTTTTAATGCAAATTGGCGTTGAAACTACCAGAATACATATCTAATTTGCAATTTTAAAAATCGCAGCTCCCATTTTATTTATATGAAAGAGAACAAATTAACATCATTCCTGGTTTTCACAGACTTTTCCTTGCATAGACAAGAAAAACCATGGAAGTTCTCAAGAATTGACATTGAGTAGTATTCCATTTAAAAATGGTAGTTTTACCATCGGTACTCAGATGCTCCCAAACATTGCCGAGGATTATCCATTGATAAACTTAATCTTGAAAGGATTTTCTATTCTATGTCTCCAAGGAAAAGATTAAGTAGCATTCATTTACACAAGTACATTGTCTCAAAAACTAATCTTAATTTTATCTTTTCTTACTTTTAGGGCAAGGATTCAGGAGAACTAATTTTGCTGTGTGATGGCGTGCTTTGATATTAGGAATATTACCCACCAAAGACTATGAAAGATCTCATTACTAAAAAAAAATTGTGATTTCAGCACTGTGCAATCAAAAAATGTTGCAATTACGTTTACTGTGTTTCAAACAACACATGATTCATTCTAAATTGTTTTCTTTTTATTGTTGATAATTTTTACCTGTTTCTTCCGTTGAAGTGAATTACCATGTTATTCAGTAGTGTGTTATGCCATGTGCAATAAAGCTCTACACAACTGAAGTGCATTGGGATCTCATTTTTATGTTACCCTTAGTATTATCCATACTTCAAAATACAACTCATACATAAAATTATGAACGGGCAGATATTTTTGATAATGCTTGGCTCTGCCATCATTTGTATTTAATAAGTTGACAGTGGGAAAATGTATTTGTGTTATGAACATGTTTGGCCATGTAGACAATAAAAATGTAACAAAAAAAAATAGCATGAAAATGACAATCCCAATCGAATGAAAAGTATAAAATTTATTGAAAAATTTAGGTACAATTTACAAAACGTACAAAAAATATAGACGAAACAAGTATTTCAGCAGAATTCGTTATTTATCTCAATATCTTTACACTTATGGATAAAAGAATGACAAAGTATCAATACAAAAGAAAACGTTGAACAAAATCTATCTTTATTGACATACTTTGGTACCTACAAAGTCATAGTAATAATAAAATTTTACATGTAGTAATAATGTTATGAACATGTTTGGCCATGTAGACAATAAAAATGTAACAAAAAAAAAATAGCATGAAAATGACATTCCCAATCGAATGAAAAGTATAAAATTTATTGAAAAATTTAGGTACAATTTACAAAACGTACAAAAAATATAGACGAAACTAGTATTTCAGCAGAATTCGTTATTTATCTCAATACCTTTACACTTATGGATAAAACAATGACAAGGTATTAATACAAAAGAAAACGTTGAACAAAATCTATCTTTATTGACATACTTTGGTACCTACAAAATCATAGTAATAATAAAATTTTAAAAAATCAAGCCGAAAAGTTGACTATATCATTTTATAGATGTATAGTCTGTAAAGTGAATAGATAGCCATCTTAGTAACTTACGTATTGGGAATGTAAGAAAATCGCCACTTGTTGTTTTTGTAACACAAATATAGAATAAAGCTCTGGCATGTGTTAGGGATTTACGATTTAAGCACTTTTTCTAAAGTAAAATTTTGCAAGAAATACAATGCCACTGATTTTCTTTGAAACCAACTCCGAAGCTCGAAAAATAGCTTTCAAAGTTGAGGTTGTAATGGAGGTTATCCTCCACTCTACGCTGAGAGGCCGTATGTAAGAAAATCATCGCTATTTCCCTTTGTATTGCAAATCCTTGACCCATGCAAGAGCTATTTTCACTGTTGTGTCGCAGAGTTTTGCAGATCTGCAACAAGTGTATAATTAGCCCTTTATCAGAGCCTAAAACCATAAAATTTAGTCACATAATTCACCATCTTGGGGGATATCGACACTTGCATGATCTTGATGCATCAGATCATTTTCAAGTGAGTACTTTTCATAAGCCTTTTTGAAGGCAATATATGTCATTTGTACTAACTTCTGTGCCTCCTTCTGCTTTTCTTTTTTTTCCTGACAATCGGTAGGAGGCGAATAGTTCTCAACTGTGTATCCAAACTGACTGCCATCAGGACAAATAGCTTTTAAAAAATCTTCACACTTTATTCCTTCAATCTTTTTGTTGGGGTGGTCTTTACACGCTGGTCGCTCTGACCACATTTTAATTATGAGATTTTTACTGCTTAAATACTCCTTATATTCAGTGGCTTTTTCTGTCAGAGATTTCAGCACTTCATACTCCTGATCCTCTAGTTTTGGTGATTTACCTAAAGAACTCGGTTTTGAGATAGCATATTGATCAGCAGGATGTGCCGATATTAAGTCATTTAAAATATCCCTCATTAGAATTTTTTCTGAGTGGCCATAAGCGCTTGCTTCTAATTCCGATTGGCTTTTGAAATGTTTATTACCATAAGACACGTAGTGGTATTCTTTATTAAGATATTGAGGTGAGGGTAAAGTATAAGGAATCCATATATTCTCCCCTTCCTTTTTTACGTACAAGGCTGCAGCTCCAGTATTTTTGTCGTATCTGGCAGATCTGCTACCAATTTTAATTTTGTCATCTGATGTAACGTTGCATTTGTGCTTCTCCGCTTCGTTATGGAATCTACTATGAAAGAAAGATTTGGCTAGGGCCAGATTCGCCCTACCACACATACCTGCTGGATCACCCTCCTGAAAAATTTCATTAGGATCATAATACCTGAATGTAACCATATTACCTATTTATCCACAGTTTATGTTTTACCTTGCTGCAGCCCACAAGTCACACTCGCTATCAAATAGCCACGTAACACTGACTGATCACTGCAGTGCACTGATCAACTGGTGGATGATGTCAATGAACTGAAACATGCATGATGCAATTTGACGCAAATTTAATGCAATAAATTGCCTGCAGTCCCCCCCCCCCTCCTGTGCACCAATGGTGCACAGATGGTTCCCGCCAATTTTCGTGCAACTAGTGTAAGCCAATCAGAGACGAGGACGACCTCTTTCTGGCATGCATGTCCTAACCTACAAAAAGCAAAAAGTAAACAGTAACAAAAAATTGCCCTCATAACCATGATTTACATGATTACCATGAAAGAAATAGACTACTTCATACCGTGAATTGCTATGACACTTGACTATATTACCAAAAAAGTAAAATGTTGATAATTTTCCAAGGGATTCCCACAATATCCATCGTCGGCTTGACATATCATTCGAACTAGACAAAATTCGGTCGCCTGGGTTTATGATCATCATGGAGAATGTGAGTTCATAAAAGGTTTGTTTCACTCCAATGAGTTCATTTTTCTAAATTTATCGAAGGTGCAATTTAATCCTCTACTATCCTGTTAGGTATGATAGTAGACCTTGAGCAACATGTTATGTGACTATCCCTGTTGATGATCACGCTGCCTCAATAGATTCACTCATGGTATGAAGAGCTGGGCATGATTTCAAGATTTGGAAAGCTATTCCTATACTGGCGGTAGAAGAGCTCTGATGATCAAGTTTCGTGTGGCTGTAACTGTACCCTGCTTTGCAGTGAGGATTGACGTGAAAAATTTTCATTCAAAATGCTGCTAAGTGAGAGTCAGTTTGTCAAAGGAGCCTGTCAATGTATGTGCCCTGCGAAGGAGAGAAATCTGTAAGTGTTCTCATCTGTGTAGTATCTACCTGTCTATTTTTAATCACTAGAAAGGAAAGAGTTGATATGAGATAAAATAGCTGTTGGCATACTGAATTAGAATATACCTAATATACAACTGAAATTACTCAGGCTACTCAGTCCGTCCATCGGTTATCTAGTTAGATCGAGTTCTGTTGCAATGTAGAGTCCACTGATTTCAAGGTTGTGACAGAAGTCATACCTCATTTACATCCAAACTCATACACAGTGCATTAATAACCTATCGAAGTGGGCTGATTCATTATAATTGGGAGATAATAAAACAAGGAAAGTACATTTAAATAATAACTGAAATCACCAAAATGAAAAAACTCAAAATTTTCTTTACCGTATTTTCTATCTGCAAGGGAAATTAAGTAAGGAGAGTTTTAAGTTTTTTAATTTTAGCGATTTTAGTCCTAATGGGTCAGTTGTGCGGGTTACAGCATTCTATTTTGATGATTGATTCTCGCAGGTTAGTTAAAAATAATAAGATCGGTCCAAACTATAACTTTTTACGTCCAGTATTAACGGAGATATTGCCCTTTGAAAAGTCGGGTTTTTGCTGTCATCCACTGCAATAGTGACACACTTGGTTATTTCCTCTTTTGTTCGATCAGTGATGAAGAGGACGTAACGCGAAACTTTAAAGATATTAAACATAAACAAACTCAAGAAACAGACGATTTGTGCTTCAAGGATCCTCTTATCAGGAGATAACGCACTCCATGCGGAGAAATTAGGCGGTCAGTCAGTTCACCACAGTTTGTTTGTGTCTATTGTCACTGAAGTTTTGCGTTGCGCCCTTTGCATCACTGACCGAACAAAAAAGGAAGAAACCAAGGTTGTCATTACCGTGGTGGATGACACCAAAAACCCGACTTTTGGAAGGGCGATATCTCGGTTAATATTGAACCTTGCGAAGAAGTTGCGGTTTGGACGTATCTTATTATTTTTATCAATCATCAAAACACGATTTTGTGACCACCACAACTGACCCATTTGTGAGAGAATTACTCTCATTTGAACATATAATAAGTGAGTCGCTACGAGTAGTAGCGACTTAAGTTGTTTATTATACCCATACTCAGCTATTTTTTTTTACTAAGAAGAACGGTTTTTCAGAGCCGGACCTTTACCAAAAATCTAGGGATGATCCATAAACATTATGCTACAAGGGATGAAGGTAGAGATAGGGTTGATATCCTGTGCCTTCATGCAAAAATTGGTGCTAAATGCAGATTGTTTTGAGAATTTCTTGATAGTTCTGGCAAGAATATCAACAAAAAATGCCAATGGTTTCTAAGGTTTTCTTAAAGGAGAAAAAATCAACATCATTCGTTGAAGTTTTCACCAAAATTTGTGCGCACAGCAAAGAAAACTCATGGCAGTCTTTAAGAACTGCCATTGAGTAGTTTTCCATTTAAACGAGAAAGCATGATAGGGTGTCTGCAACATTCAAAACTGAGATACAAGGTTTCCGATTTTCAGCCATGAAACATAATTGACTCTAAATCTGGAGTAAATTTCTCATCATTGTGATCTATTATTTTTTCAGGAGGAGTAAAGAAAGAATGATACACATTTTAGAGACAAACCTAGACTTGCAAACTTTCCGTCAAACTAAAAATATCCCAGCTGATTCAAATAGAATGGTGAAGAAATTTAGTCGTTCTGCTGCTGGGCAGGAATTATCTCATCCAGAATTACTCCGACCTCCTGAAGTATTGTTAAGGACCGTGAATTATCTTTTATCAGAGTAAGTAATTAAACATATTTGCATTGTATCATTTCTTAGCTCATAGTATGAGAGACTAAATGTTTCAGCTCGATCAGCTTTCGCTTAGTTAAACTCTTTAATAATGCTATATCTATTTTTATAAACTCAAATGCTAAACTATCACCTTTATACATTAAGCATGAAAACAAAGCTAAAAACTTAAGCAGCTCAAACAGATGATATAATATGAATTATCCTCGATTACCCATCAAAAAAAAGTTTTTACCAAACTACTATTAGCTCAGTAAAATGATGGACTAAAACAAATGTATCTATCAACTGTTTCAACAATTTGTTTCACACATTGCCAGGTAAATATCGTGTCTGTAGATCGTTCCGTATCAGCTTTTGATCATTCTTGCCAAGATAGCCATGAAATTGATCCTTCCTCATAGATTTCATGTAAAAATCTTTCTTTTTGAAAAAATTATTTAAAAATTAGGACTAATGATACAGTGGAAAGATCAGTAGTCGATAGCTCTGCGTGAGCTGTGCAAATACTCCCTGAGGAATCCACCAGAGTTAATCCTAACATCACAATAAGACATTTTTTAGGACTAATAGAGGCTTCCATTGTGTAAGATTAAGCACCTTGCCAAATTGAGCTCTTTGACAAGTTAAGCTCAACCCTACATTAGCTGTGTTATGCAAGATTTCTGGAGACTTCTAGGATTTGCACGGAAATGCAGACTGATTTAAGTAATACAGGCAATTTTGCAAAACTCATTTTAATTTTTGTCTCTGTATCTTTTTCCAGAACTTAATAAAACTACTAACTGTATGTAACAATAGATCAAAGACAAGGACTGAACTAAGAGAAAAATGTCACATGTTTTCTCCTCATAATTTCATGTAGAAAACATATCATCCAACAGTACTTTAGAAATCAACTTTTTTAATGAGGTATCAAGAAATTTACTTCTAACAAAGATCAAATAGAAGTCAGACTATAGGGATGATATCAAAAATATTGTTACTGTCTAACTGATGTCAATCGTAAACAATTCTATCTCATCTAGGAGTTAATTTTTAGATTTCTCATTGTATGATCTGTTTTCCTCATTAAATCTTGAAGATATTACATGTTGCAGAGTGCCTTAACACACACCTTGTCTAGAGGCCCATTGTTCTTGTCACTTGTGTGTTTACATTGCATTTCAGAGTCATTCTTGACAAGCGTATAAAATTCTATGCTGTTGTTGAGTTCATCACTGATGCCCTGAGATCTATTCGACAAGATGCTGTCATTCAAGGTATTTCTGCTTTCGACTGGATTCAACTTCTACAACCCATGGTGCGGTTCCATTCATTTGTCTCTTACAGGTAATTTCCATCTCCTTTTGAAGTGATGAGGAGGGGTGTCCAAATAAATCCTTGCCATTAAGCCATTGGTACTGCTCGTTTCAAATTAAGTGATACACTTTGATGAGGTAGCACTCTTGGGAAATGGGCAGGTTTATTAGAACTGGGGGAACCCTGAGTCGGAGCATTGTTGCCTTGTATATCTGTCCTCAATACAAGAATCACCATTTTAAGTAGATTGTGGTTTTTTCATGAGCAGGAAGCATGAATCCATGCATCAAAGAAGGTTTATGTCTTGGTTAGAAATTACCCTCAATTATTTTTGTTTCATCAATCAAGTTCTGGGTGAAATTTTGATGAGGATAATTATTGATGAGAAATTTTTATCAGAATGGTTAAATTTCCTCCTTATCTAGTAGTCTATTGTAATGATGCAGGTGGTGTTAAAAAAAGGCCTCTCCTTTACTTTTTTCTACATTATCTATAAAAGAAGTTTTCTTCTGATAACTTGTGTGAATATCGCTGAAAAAATAATCTGGTCAATTCATAAAGCATACTTCTCTATGTACATATTCCCTACACTTTGATTTCCGTTTCTAGGTGGATACTAAGGAGAGAATTGGCATATGTCTTTTGCAGGTCAGCATTTATATAGTTTTTTTATCTCTCTATTTGGCACAAAAGAACTTAAAAGAATCATCTTTCCTAAATATCATCGTTGAAAAAGGAGAAAAATGTTTTTATCAAAAAATCTCTTTTTTAAAATTTAGTCTTGTAAATTGTCTTAAATGTGTTAACTTGTGCTAAAATTATTGTTTTATTTTCCAGATTGTCCGGGAGTCCACCAGCTGAGTTTGACAGTCATCTTAATTACAATCATTTGAACGAGTGTTTGAAACGACTTTTAACCTGCTATGATGAACTAAATACGGAATCCGCTGAGAGAGATGAGATGGAGGCTGTATTTTTACTTCTGAATCCTGGTCATTCAGAGCCTCTCCTGCGTTATTTATCCTTGAAAAAAAGGTCTGTATGTATCCAAATCGTGTTCTCTATAATTTTATTCCTCTCTTCCATCATTCAGACATTCATGAGCCATGACTTTTTTCTTTTTCTACTGATTCCATCAATATGCACGTTATTCTGTCCTTTGTAATAGCAATCAGCTTTGTTTCAATCGATTATTTTGTAATATGAAAATGAAATAAAAAAAAAGGTTGCTATAAAAGGAGAGGAGTACTCTCACTTGCCGTTTGGAATGAGGGACGCTGATAATTCATGAAATTTTCAGTGCTTGTGACCATCCATCATAAAAAGGATCTAAGTGCCATAAAACTCAGATTTGAGTTTAGTTTGAAATTTTTATTATAAGAAATATAGTTTTGAGAAGAAATTATGTAAGATTTCAATACGTCCTCAACTGACGCGAAAATGAACTCAGTTCCTCACAACTCATCCTCCAGGGTACAAGGGAGCATTTTTATTCGAAAACCCAACCGCTAAATTCTCAATCAAACTTGATTGACCAGGAGTCTCGCCGACCCTCTTGGTCCAGGAGGTGCAGAGTTAAGGAATCTGGGTCTGAAACTCTGAGTCCACACGCGAATACTGAATATGCCTCAATCACTGCCTACGCTGGTTACAGGCGGTTTTGGCCTCATTCAGTTTTTCTATTCTAACTTTTAACGGTCTTGAATCTTGCTTGTTTTTTTAACAGATCTATTTTTCTTTGTTCTACATTTTAGAGGCAAATTGGCTAATGCAGGCTTCAGAATTTCCAAAGCATGGCTAGCGAGTAATTTTGCCAAATGTTCCCGAGAAATAAGGAAGTCTGTAACACCCATTTTGGCGTGCACAATCAGTCGCAGCTTACCAATTTTAAGGAGGTGATTATTTTCTTTCTTCATTCACTTTTAAAGAAGCTTGAATGAAAAAGTATACCAAGCTCACAACTTTAGAAGATTTTGCATGACATAGGCAATCTTGCTCTCAAAATACATTATCAACGCTAAAGCTGCAAAGAAGTCCATTGCAGTTTGTGACGCTGCAAATTTCATATCATTATTTGTTTCACAAGTAACAAATTACTCAATGTCATTTCTTAAAAAATTTCATAATTTTTCCTGTACATAAAAAATGCACTGTGAAAATTGCAACAAAGAATTGCTCACACAATAAAATGAAATGGACAACGGCGATTGTGAAACACTGCAGACGAGAACCGCATTTTAGCAGAATCACCATTGTTATGTAAGTTTTTATCTATTTTACATTATTTAATTACGTTTTTTTATCAAAGCGGCCTTTTTAAATTGCAGCCTTACTCAAAAAAAAAGCTTTGAAGGCCCATGAAATTTGCTCACTTTGTGCTTTTATTAAAGCAAATTGGCATGTATTAAGTATCTTTGTTTTTTATTTTTGTCCTCAGAAATATTTTGAAAATCATGTCAGCGGGCTACAGTTCCAAAAATCAGTGCTATCCTGTTTCGAAGCTGGTTCAATTTCTTCTCTGTAATGATGCTACAGAGGCTTTTAGTTATTGTCAATTTTACAATATTGAATGCCAAAAAAGTTCGAGTGCTGTGCGATTTGAGAGAGGAAGTTTTGATCACCAAAAATCTGAGGTTTGTAGGAATTTTATGTGTGTTTTTTTTTCTATGGATGTTAAATTTACAGTATCATCAGTTGTACATTAATTGAAGAGATTTCTAGAAAAAAGATGTAAAACAGAGAGACTTACAGGATGTCGTTCATTATTTAAAACTGTAGCAAATCAAAAAATTTGATTTCATCAGAAAAAAATCAGGAAAATATCAAGAAAGTTGGTCATAGATCAGGAAATTCTGCAGTGCAGTTTCCTGATTGCAGCATTTTCCAATTTATGTAGTGTAACTAATGCAAAAGTGAAAATTTTGATTCTTTCCATCAAATAAATTAGTTTGTAAAATCAAACAAGATTCAATTTATTTGTGCAAAAAACCAGAAATTTCATTTGAATGATCAGGATAATCAGTAATGAAATTTGGTAGACACCCTGCACTGGAAAAATACAAGAGTTCTTGATATTATTTCAGAAACTACTCTTAAAGCTGTTTCAAGTTGTGTGTGCAAATTCTTGACGTACTACAGCATGAAATGATACTCAGAAATTCCCTAGAGCTGCCCTAAAATCTAGAAATTAGGTATCAATTGGACAACATTCTGCAATTTGGAACTAAAATTTCTGGCTGAGTTGAGAAACAACGTATGTACCGTCAGTTTACCCATGCAGATAAGTTTTTTTGTAGATGAGCCAGCAATTTTAGTTCCAAATTGCAAAATGAAGTCCAACACATAGATCAACTATCGAATCGTTCTCCGAAGTGTTGAAGAAACACAAAGCTATGATCAACAGAAAACGATTCTGTGATCAGTGAAACTGACCTATTTTCTGTCATCCTTTATTTTGGAACTATGTAAATGTCTTTGTGTATTATTTTTTTCAGATGAATCTCAGCAACTGGGTTTTGGCTGAGGAGAAATTAAGTGCTTTTTCTGTACCTGACATCTTACTCAGACACATTTATACTCACGACGAAGGGAAAGGGTGGCAACAAGATCTACATAAAAATGTTGAGAAAATTAGTAACATGAAACTGGGTGACAAGTAAGTGTCAGTTGGATTATCAGTCCTCTTTCCACTTGCAAATGATGTGGAAAAGTTACAAGACCATCAACAAAAGACTGTGAATTCAAGTCATTGTATGAGTTTTTTGTTGTGGACTCTTTATTCACATCAAATTTTTACCAAATCTTTTTTTTTTTTTTTTTATTTTAAGATTTACCTCAAATTTTATGATTATTCTTCAACAGTAAGAATAAGAATACAGTAGAATCTGAATGTTTGAAAGATCTCCAAAGGGAAGAGCTAGTTTCCATCGATATCTCCAAAACATTCCAAACATTTATTCCTTTGTTTATAAAATAAACAAAGGAGAACATAATTTTTTTCTCCTTTAATAATTGTAACTTTTTAGTTCTCTCTTGTTGCGATAGATTTCTTTTGCAATGCTCATAATTTAGACATCAAAGTCGCTATTGAAAATACATTTTAAGCATGTCAAAATGTCAACATCGAAATCATAAGTGATACTCAATGTTGAAAATATAATTTTATTGAATGCTGAGACAAAGTGACTTGTAGGTTTAATGTGTTGACAACCGTACAATTTTCAGTACAAATTAAGCTAACAGTATGTCATAAGGTCACCGTTACTAAATCAATTACTTAGAAATTTTTTTTATATTATTTGATTGCCAAAAAAGAACTTCTGCATGAACAGTGACATTTTAGATAGATTTTGAAGACTGATTTTTTTTACTTTATTCCCCTGAACATACTGTGAAAGAAAGCCTATTTTATTACCATCATGAGCTTTTTTTGTGTCCTCATTATTTCAATCAATATATTTGTGAATAAATGAGCATTTTAAAATGAGTGCTGTAACTTTCTTTTCTTTCTCTTTCAGCATGAAATCTTGTAGTAAACACGATTGTGTATTTTCTCAATTTCTAGATCTGCTATGAATTTTAAGGCTGACTTCCCTTTCTCCTTTGAGTATGGAGCTTTAAATAAAAGGAAATTTTTTTCCTCTCAAGAGATAAAGTATTTGCTTTATTTTTGGCGACTTTCATGGAGAATTCGCCAGTTTGACAGTTGAAATAAAGAGATCTCAACAAGAGCTTCATGCACTCAATATTTTATTGTTCTTAAATGTTTATGTGTTTGAAGATTTCAACCCCAGCAAAATTTCCCTTTCATTCCACAGTGTTGCCAACTAAGAGCTCTTAAAATGGCATAGCTCATCATGAAATTAAGATGGTAGTGCAAAATTGAGACAGTTAAGCTAAAAAGTCACCTCTACATTACGATATTCAATAATCTCATCCATTTTAATTTTTTGTCAGTAAACCAAACAACATTTCCATTAAAACATCTGTACAATTTTCCTTACTAATATGAAGGTTATTCACACAGAATTTCAAGCAAAAATCATCGTTGGTTTCCCTGCAAAAAATTAAAATATAAGATGAGATTTGGAAACACTAAAATTTAAGTATGACTATTTTGCTTAGCTCTACCCAAATTGTGGAGGAAAAATTATTTCAAGAAGTTACTGTCCCTATTCTTCTGCTGGAAGCATTACTCATAACAATCAATTTAGAAGTTTACCTATTTAAGAACCTGTAAAAAAAAACACAACCTTCCACATAACAACAATGGCCATTGAACACAAAGGAATGAGTATCGTTCCAAAAACAAAGACTAAAATACAAAGTATTGCAGTTATTTGTATGATGAATAAAAAGGTCTTTGTAATTTTGTCCCACCAACAATCGCTTTCAACAATGTCAGTAATGTGATCTAGTATAAAGCGAACAACGTGAATGAAAATTTCAGACATTGGAAGGAGAGTCATGATCATATGAAAGGCAGCTTGAAAAGCACGGCTTAAACAATTTATCAGGATATAAAGAAGAGTTTTGAACGAATAGGGCTCGGCCGAAATTCCATGGTGGTTTTGAAACTCCACCACGGTGTTGCGCATATTTTCAAGTAAAGATGCATCTTCTTCATTGTGAATGCATTCTCCATCTGCCATTGTCCATGAAGATACTATCTGCTCCAATACCTGACCATCTTCACTTCAAGAACGTTTTTAAAAAAACTAATTTGCTGGATTTTCATCTTGGAATAATGCAGCAATAGTGCTCCAACTGTCAGGTTCTGAGGATAAATTTTGACGGCTGCGTACATTTTGAAACGTACATCAATCACTCTGAAAGTAACAAAAAGCTGAAAAATCGAACGGAATTTTATCACAATATTTGTCCATGGGAAGGTTCTATTCTGTACTTGTCAATTTTGCACATAACCTAAGAAGTAAGCTCCTTGGAAACAATTTCTATGTCTCTTGAACGTTGCCAAATTTGCATTCTGAATGTTTAAAGAAGGATGAAGATTGATAACTTGAATAATCTTCAATTTATTAACTATCATCGGTAAATTTTATTGGCCTCCAAAAATTTAAATAATGCCACAGACTGTATTCATCACATAGATTTTAATTTAATAATGTCTTTGTGAATATATTTCACTCATGAAAACTTTTCAAAGTCGAGGCCATGAGAACTGCTTTAGACTGGCATCCCTGTTCTCGTAACCTTAATAATTGAGACAGCTGGTCAGGATCCTGGTTGAACTTAAAAAAAGACGATGAACACAACTAAATTATCATTGAAATAGCTGAAGAAGTTTCATATTATTCTCAAAAATTCATCAAATGATGTTTTTATTATATTTCTGAGCTAACCAGTTAACTGTAGAGATTCTATCATTTGTATCCTCCAAATTCTAGCAGTTTGCTCCTTCCTCCAACCTCCAACTGTGTCAGTGATTAAGTTTATCATGGCTAGCGATCAAGAAATATCATTTTACCGTGAATGTTTCAAGACCAATTCTGATCAGCGGCAAGAGAGAACAAATTTTGATTCCACAAAACCACCATTGTTATGTGGTCCTACATTATCACAAATCTCAACTGTCTGCAGAGAAGCAGAATTTCCGCCCAAAGTTCCCAACTTCAATCCAAGTATTCCGTTTTTTGTAAGCAAACCTTGCTTCATTACAGCATGATGTACAGTATTTTACGACTGAAAGTAGTTAAATATTTTCTAAAAAGAGGCGCCTCCTCTATCAGTAAATAGACTGCACTTACACAACTCTCCGATATGATAGCAATTATTTCAACAATTGCAATTGATTGCAATTTGTGCCTCTTGGGAAGTTGACCACATTAAGCTAATCTTTGAAATTTTAATTCCGATGGAATGTAATGAGAAAAAGCTGAAATAAAGTGGCTTCATTTGTCTGTTGAATAACGCTAACCCTTCCATTAGGTTAAATAATTATCGAGATTGGTTATCCCTACTATTATAACATTTGTACACATATTATAACTATAAATTTTTAGTACGATAAATTGATGGCCTGATGGAGAGAATGTTATTATCTGGTCTATCAGTGGGACCACTTTGTTTTAGCTTCTTCTTATCGTTTTTCCCGATAGAAAAAAAAATTGGAGGGTATCTAAGATTCAATGGTATCGAATCTCTGTATTATAACATTTTGCTCATCAACAGGCATAGGAGAGAAGTTTTTTTTCTATATGCCAACCAAACACCTGACAGCGAATGAATTTTTAAAAAAATCCAAATATTGAAAAAGAACCCAGGAAAAAAAAATTTGTTTTAAGGCATTGTTTGTGCCATGTCAAAGAATGCACGAGTTTAAAGACGCAAAGGTTCCAACGAAAGCCAGTGGAGGAAAAGTATGTTACTTCAATTATAAACAAACTTTGTTGCCAGGTAATGCAACAAATCAGCAGTCTCCCCGTTTAAGCCCATTTAAACTACTTAGTTTATCATACAACTGGCAACCTGGAAGATTTTCAATTCTGATAAGATGAATCCTGAGCAAGAGCGTGGTAACGCTGACCATTCATCAAGCAAGAAATTAAGAACTTATTGCTTATTAAGTGAATAGACTTTTCATCCGTTCAAAAGCGCTTTCGGTCTTCACATCTGTATCGAGTAATTTTAATAGGGTGCAAGCAACATCTTTCAAAAAAGTTTTTTCTCCCCAAGTTTTCTGTTTGATGAGATGGAGAATTTTTTTCTTTGAATTTTCTTACCAGCTAACAGCTGTTCAGTGCCAAAAGTTAGGGTTTTCTTGTGCAAAATTTAGGAACTCAAGCAGATACAACTTTATCTGGATGAAACCTTTCTGTCATGTTAAAGGTTTAATTTAACTTTTCTCAATTTATTTTATTCAGAGTCAAGATAACATAGCCTGTGTGACTTCTCACTTGCAAACAATCCGAGACCACCTTTGCGCATTCCAAGAACGTCAAGGAATCCCACGGGAAGAAAACAATTTCTTCGGACTCGCTTTGATTATAATTCAACAATCGGGTCAAGCGATGTATGCAGTTTTCATGCTCTTCCTGGCTCTTTTTCCAGTTGCAACAATATTTTTAGCAATCCTTCATTTTATAGTGGATCGATTAATTGATATTCTCTGCACCAAAACACCAGCTGATATTTACTTTAAGCTAGGCGTTCTGTGTGCTCAACTGTTGCTCATTTATCTGATGACTCAGTTTGTAGTATATACTATTTTTAGTCCTATTTTTACAATGCAACTGAATATCATCAGTAAAATGATAATGATTAGCCGTGGAAATCTAGTTCTCAAGTGATAATAATAAAACCCTGGATGGAATGAAAACAAGGCTTTACTTCGTTCATGGAGAACTGAAGAAACTGCAAAAGCTATGCCAAAAAACTGACTCTGTGACCAAGATCAAAGAAATTTCAATTCTTAAATACTACGCTGGGGTAAGTGCTGGTTGATTTATCAAGACATCAAACTAGCTCCAAAATATTCGAGTTTGCAGGGTAATCACTAGAATTAGGATAGTTATTAACTAGTGAAAATACACTTGGAAGCATACCTTTTAATTTTTTAAAATAATACATTGTACATTTTTGTACTTACATCTACTGTTTTAACCACATTTGATAGAAAAAGAAAATGGACAAATAAAGAGAGGAGAGGTGAACTAAGAAAACGATAGAATTCATTTTCTTGCCAAGTAACCAATTCACAATTCAAAAATTCGATTTTCAATGACTGGAACTAGTAGCATTTAAAGGGAAAAAATTAATAACAAGAACCTTTTAAGTGAAAAACGAAGTGAGAAATCGCTAACTGCCACTACAACGATCGATGAATCTCTTTGAACTCTTTTTAGAAGAAAAATCCTACAAGGAGACTCATTACAACGCAACAGAAGAACATTCTTTTGAAATTTTAATATTACATGGACTGCGAACAATAATCAAATCTGTAGGCACAATTAGATAAAACAAAATGTAATGGCAGGGAAGGTAGGTTAATACTAACGATAAACTGGAGCAAGTTTCAGTATTCCCCTCTTGTTAGGGAAACTAGATAGAGAGCTTTATCAAAAACATGCTCTTGAATTTGGCATCTGTTTCAAAATAGTACAAATAATTTGCCGCTGAAAATGTAAAGAAAAGGCACTGGCAACTAAATTCCATGCTGAGCTACAACGCAAGTTAATCAGAATGCTATGCCCTCCGATAATGCACAAACAAAACAATGTTTAACTTACTAGTTAAATGAAAAGACAAAAAATTATTTCAAACAATCTGATGGTATTCAGGGAAATTTTATGGGGATTAGGGACTTTAATTATTTTCAACTTCATCATGAGCAGAGTGGATCAATTAAAAGTGTAGCTTTGAAAAAATGTGTGTCTGAAACAGAAAATTCGATTGCAGTCTCTCTCCTTGAGACTATAAGTGAGAAGTAAAATGCCAGGACCTCTGCTTTGTGCTCAAAAGATAATATTAGAAACAAAGATTTTCTTCGCGGAGAATGAGAAGACAATTTTTAATGAGCACAACTCAGTCTCGCATGCTTCTAGAGAAGAATAATTGTTCTTTAAAGTAATCAAAGAAAAAAATATTAAGGGAAAAAAACGTGTTACGCATGTACCACTAGTATGTTCATCTTCTATTCATTTTATGTATAAAGTTACAAATGATGCGCTTCTAAAACTAAAAAAAGAAATTTTATAAATGGATCAGATGTTAGGGAGATATGAAATTGATGAACAAGGCTGTAGTATTAAAGGGCAGTAATGATATGCTATAAGCTGCAATATGAGGACAGTCTATATTGAACAAAGAAAAGGGAAAAAAAAATTAAAAATCATAAAATAACACCAGCAATGTTGTGAATAATGAATATAAAAATTATAATTACAATTGCACTCAGAATGCAGAAAGAATACAGTTCACGTAAAAAAGCGTACGACTTAAAAGCTAAACAATAAATAACGATAAAACAATTAAGGAAGGACCAATACATTCATGATATTACTCTGATGATTAAGTTACTAAATAGATGTTGAGAGCCTCAACATTGAGTTTTTGCACAGTCTAACTTTCGGCTTAACATAATATTAATAAATGTTGAAAAATCTGATAACTCTCTGGAGTGCGTTAGAACAGGATAAAAATAATGTGAACTGGCATGGGTAAACTTCGGTGAGATAGTTGAAATGTAAGCTTTCACACTACTGAAACGTATCATCAATATCACTGCAGACCAAATTTTTAACTAAAGAATTCATTACCTAAAATTTTCTACTATGTTATTTTAACTTTTTGAAGAGTTATAAAAACTGATATCTTTGACTAGAGAGTCACCTTACACAAATCAGATTTTCAAAACATAAATCAAATCAAAATACTCCTGTTAAAACGATTAAATATTTCATTATATGAATAATTAAATATGGAAATGGATCACTTATACGACATATAATGAGTTTTTTATTTAACAGAGAGAGTGTGATGGTTGATTGGTGATGGTTGACATCTTGGAAATTACTGGGCTGAAATCTAAGTTCAAATTCCTTAACAAGGGTGGATGTAAAAGATGCATTATTCATTCATCAAATCTTCCCTCAAATTTATTTTTCTTAGAGTAGAATGATGACTTATAGGGAGTGGTTATTAGTTCTCACCAAAAACTAGACAAGTAATCGAAGCCATACGCATCTTCCTAGAACTCTCGTTCAGTTAGATTGCGGTTGTTGAATCTTTGTTTACAGAAGGCCTCCCTTCCGCTGTCTAGTAGCCAACCAACACCAACTGCTGCAGTATGCAGAATTTGAGATCTGTAAACTGAGCTTGCGTATCAAAAGTAAACAATTGCTATTTTATCTGACACAATTTGAGCTATGATGTTGTGACTCCTCTCTTTGTTCTATTCTTCTGCCTTATTTTTTTCACATTGTATCAATAATTGAAGATGAATATGATCGATAACCTATATGGTGATTTTTATCGATTATTTTATTCTAAATCCGGATGCAAAATTCTCAAGAGAATTCTGCGGTACGATTTTTAAGTTTGCTTGTTCCTGCTATAGGATTTTTTCACTTAGCAGTTCTGATACAAGATGCATAAGTGAGTTCAAAAGGGACTAAGTTTACACATCCTGTAAGATTACCTTATTTCAATATTCCAAGAGGTGGCCAATGCTTTCCTACCTCAGAGGAAATTGTTGAAACGTATGTTGGAAATACGTAGGAATTCTCAGCGATCACATTTGTTTTCTTTCTTTATAAAAACTGAAATAAGTAATTTCAATAAATATGCATGCAAACTTACAACTTCAAACTTTCCTAGTTGAATGAGGCTGAGATATTTCAACAACATTACGAACGTACTGAACAGTTCATTCACTTCATAAGACTGAAACTTCTTCAGTTTGAACCCCAGTTATCTGCGGTAATGGAACTACATTTTGCCATTAGAAATTAATTTTTGTGGTTCATCTGTATAAACACTTATGTGCATAGGTAAACTAATGATACATACGTTGTTTCTAAAGTAAACCATAAATTGTGGTTCCTAATTGCAAAATGTAGTCAAATTGAGACCAGCAGTACCTCCTGATAATACCTGCGAACTTCAGGACAGTCCACCAAAAAAGTACCATATGAGTCGTTTTCTTTACAAATAGTACAGTAGTAAGTATGTACGGTTATCTTGAGCAAAATAAGGATGAATTTTACCTTTCTGAGTATGATCATTTAATGAAGAAACTGAATCATTTACCGTCTGGACTACCATTATTTGTTTGACCACCTCTTCAAACCACCTTTTTTTCATCTAAGAAAACAAAATACCAGTGCTCAGCACAACCGCTGAAAATCCGAACCGCACATAACTGGGGTTCTACTGTACTCTCAATTGTATTCTTCACTGCCTTCAAAGTGTATGACACTTTCCTTTAATTTCGTACTGAAACTCAGATAGAATGGTAAAGTTCTCCTCAATTTGCTACCGGTTGTTTTGTTTTGGCACAGGCAGTCCACGAACAGATTGGTAGAGAAACTAGGGGCAAATTAAGTTAATGGTGGGTAAATAAATGACAGAGAGCAAAATACGATGAGAATTAATGATGAAAGAATGAAAGACTTCGGTTGCATGACAAACTTTTTGACTACACAACAAAGCAATTTGTTGAAAACATGTTAATTCAATCTTAACAAATTCAAGAAATCACTCTTATCATCACACAGTTCGTTCAATGTGCAATTCATCAACTTTCCCAAAAACTGACGGTGAAACTGTGGGAACACGTATGTATCTTGGTTTAGGACATTACAACATTCCTGCCAGACTTTATGTTTTAAATGGACAAAATACGTGACGTTATTTCTTGAGAAATTACCTGAGTTTTCTCCCCTATACAAATTTCAATTAGTAGCGTTTGTTTATTCCTCTTTGATGAAACAAAATGAGAGCAGGGATTTTGAAAAACCGCAAACGAGAAACTTGTTCCTGCAGTTTCATCATTGAAATGGGATGAGCTCCTCCTTCTATTCCAAAACTTTCTACCATTTCTTCATTATTTTTCTTCCAATATTTTGCTTAGTATAATAATTTTACAGGAGCTTGCTGTTCAGATAACTTTCAAGGCTGTCAGATTTAAAAATCAGCTTAGAAATGACAACAAAGAAGTCATTTTTTAGCTAAAAAAAAAAAGACAACTTTAAAAGATGAAACCAAATTTTGTTGTCGATGACAATTCATTGAAATGATACAATAGAAGGAGTTGATTCTGATCCTAGGTCTGACAATTTGAGGATGTAAGGTACAAAATTCCAATGGGACTAGCGATGACTAACAGAGAAATCTGTTGAAAAACTCTTCAAAAAAAAACCCTTGAGATGCACAAAGTAGGAAACTTCATTAATTGATTTTAATGTTAGGAATAGGTGTAATTAGACAAAAAGAAATTAGAAAAAAATAACAAGTTAAAAAAACTAATTAAAATTTTGTTGGCTTTTAAGTGCGATAAATTTTATAAATAAGAAATATCTGTGAATGCAAAAAAAATGCAAGATACAAAACTTAAAATTAATTAAAAAATGTCGTGAAATTTTACTAAAGTAAATTAAATGGGCGCAAGTTCCCCTGCTCTGTGCATTTGAAGACTTCCTTTCTGACTGTATCTCATATCTTCCGATTTATGAGTTTCTCAACAAAAAGCTAAATAGTCCTTCCGCCAAGGGAAGTTTACTACTGATAAGAGTCTTGTCAACAAAGGTTAAATTACAATACAACGTAAAAATTTCAACAAGTACAAAAAGTTATTAAAAATATTTCCATAACAAATAAAGTTCTGATGATTTGCCTGGTCAGTTATTTGGCAAATGTAGTTTGTAAAAAGAATCATAATGCTCAGCTTCCTGAAAAGAAATAAAACAAAACTAAATTCAATACTTCAATTCATAAATGAAACTTGTCAGTTTTTTCTTCATTTTAAATCCTTAAAATATTAAAAGCCTTCATATTATCATTGAGTAGTATAATAAGGCAGTAGAAAGGAATGTTTTTACGGTTGCAATTGCCTGACATAAAATTTTGTGAAAAAAACCAAGAAGTTTCTTAAAAGTTCAAAAAATTATTTCTAGAAGGAGAAAAAGCTATTACAAATCCAGCCAATCTAAGGCCAACGGTTGAGTTGACATAGCAACGCAATGCCTGAAACTAAGTTGAGCCAATCAGCAAACGTAGTTTCTCCCACCTAACTATGTCATCAGAGCTTGCCAAAAATATCGTTTCAGAGAGGTCTCAGTTTTGTCGTTTTCAAAACGGGATTTCTTTGCCATTGAGTGAGTGTTAAGAAAAATCTGACAAAATTCCTTGGGGGTTTGTTCACTCCGTGCTTTCAAAAAATGAATGAAAAATAGGGGTGCCACACCCCCATTTTCAATGACATGGAGAAGTTCATCCAGAAAGAACACACACTGGATAACATTCAACCCTTCAGAATCAAACTTATACAAGCTCCATTGAATCTAAGGCAATAGAATTTTTGTGGCTCGCCAAGTGTTGACACTTACCGGCACCATGTCTGCTCATATTCCAATAATTTTCCTTTTAAGTGGAGAAATTTTACAGAAACGCAACAAGTTGCACCAAGTTTGAGAAAAAAATGTTTAAAATTTAATTCTTCCATAAGACTCGATGTCAAGGACGAAATACAACCAGGCTCAAAATATTTTTTGCCAACCTTTGATTTACGTCTACTTCTATGATTAGCGTGAAATCAAGCTAATAACCTAAATTAGCCATTTTAAAAGTGGCCTTGATTTCTATTTCTTATGAAATAACATTCATCTTGAAAAGTTTCTTTGAAAAGTCAAGGAGAAGTAAGAAAATTTGAGAGTTTCTATAAAACTTAGTTTCCTTGGTTAATTTATTGCTAAATGAAATGCAGTCTCTCAAAAATTCAAACTATCTCAGAGGTAAAAACAGAGATAGAAAAGTGATTATTACCTTACTACACAGATAGTGATACGAAACTGTTATATTGAGTAATATTTCGTTTTAAGATGTCTGCACATGGCCCCAAGACTCTTTCAAACCTGTAAAAAGTATTAGAACAGTTTTAAAAATTTCATAAACCAACTTTAAAAAAAGAGGCTCAGTCAAAAGAAAACATATTACTATTTGAGGAACCGTTCGGAAAAAGGGCACATATCCATTTGTCCCTCCTAAGATTGCACAGCTCTCAATGCGTTCTTTTGTAAATCAGAGACTTTTAATTTTAAATGTTCCAAATAGGCTTGATAATTTTGAATTTCACTAATTTCAAAGTTTTATTCCAAAACATGTTTTTGAGTGTAAATGATAAACTTTTCGTCCGCTAAAATAAATTTAGTCAACTATTTGGGTCAAAAAATTGTAATGTTATTACAAACCTTGCTCTGTCTAGTTTGACACATTTTAGTGGTCCCTGAGCAACAACTGTCGCAGCTCTTGGTCGGTCTAACAATAAAGCTATTTCACCTGAAAATGGATAAAACAAATTGATTGAAATAATAATAGATTGTAGATTGTTTTGAATGGTCAACATATTATTTCGGTTTTGGGCAAGTACAATTCAGAGATTTAATTAAATAACTTTTTCATATAAAAGCAAAGGATTTTTTTAAGTTCTTTCGTGGCTTGATGAAAATAAAGAAGTTGAATAAAAGAAGCCAGAATGGGCCTGTTGCAAACTTTAGCTACAGCAAAAATAAGAGCTGTTACTCATAGAAAGTGTCTCAAAAATCATGATGAGCGCATCGGCAAAGTCTGAAATGCACTCCTTACTTCACAATTTGCATAAGAAATTTGCGTTTTTTCGAGCTTCCTGCTTCAAAAATGATACCACGGCACAGGTGAAAATTTCGTTGGAGGAGTCATTCCATCCAACCCCCGCTCACAAGGATACTACACAATAATCAACATGGCTGACGCCAATCTGCCAAAACACATGTGACGGGACGATGATTTTAACCACCTAATAACAATCGGCGTGTTTACATTCACTTTTTTCTGGCATTGATAGATATCTGCCTTGATTGACCTCGTGCTTTCCTCAACTTGTGCGCGGAAGCGTCGGCCATGTTGAGCATGGATTGAATGGAACAACTCCTCTAACGAAATGTTCACCTGTGCTGTAGTATACTTTTAGAAGCGGGGAGCTTAGAAAAACGCAAATTTCTTACGCAGATTGTGAAGTTAAGAGTGCATTTCAGAGTTTGCCGATGCGCTCATCGTGATTTTTGAGACATTATCTATACCTAAGGAGCAACTCTCATTTTTGCTCTAGCAAAAGTTTGCAACAGGCCCATTTTAGACGGCTAGCGTTCAACCAAATAGAGAGCCGTCATCAGTGCTTAATGCCATTTTCTGAATGTTCTTGTCGATTCTGAAGTGGACACATAAACATAAGTGTTGGTCAAAGTACTCTCGACAAATTCGAAATTCTCATGCAGACCTTACAGAATACTTTTAGACGAATATTTTCACACTAAGCACGTCAAAATAACCTGCAGCTGCTACGGTTGTAAGGATTTCTGGTAAGCCCATTTAGTGAAAGAGTGAGTTTAGCAGCACTACATCAAGTAATGAGGAGAATATGTCTGATAAATATGAGAAACAAGAAAATTACCAAAATAATCTGAAGGACCTAGGCGACCAACTTCTACGGGCCTATCACCTTCAGCTCTATACTGCAGGACAAGCGCTGTTCCTTCAACAATGATGTAGAAATCATCACCTGGCATTCCTTGCTTGACTATCGTCTCACCATTGTTGAAAAAAACTGGTTCTAAAGCATCAGCAACAGTTAAACGTTCCCACTTGTCAAGGCTCTCTGAAAAGCAAAGGGACTCAATGAAACTTTATATCATCAGGATCACAATCAATATTTGATTTTTAGATATAACGTGAATACATTTTCTTTCAAAACTTAAGACCTACTTATTTAGAAAAAGTAACGAATTTTGAAGAGTTGACAAGATACTTTCGGATTTAGAGGACGGGCTTGAAACTATCTGTATTTGAAGCAAGAAGATCACTTTGATAGCAATAATGCAAAACCATGTATCTCCGCTTCTGATGTTGCAGACTTCTGGTCATATTTTATTATTTCTTTGAAAAATTACTCAACTTAATTTCTCGAGAACTTCCTTGATTTTTCTTCTCTACGAGCAGAATAATTCATAGAATTTCAAGCTATATAGCTTCATTTTTTCTTTCAGTTTTTCACTTTAGCAATCAATTAGCAACTATCAGTTTTAACCTGAAGGCTTACTTAGCAAAAGTATCATCGGGGCAGTACTGGACTTCTGAATTATCTTGTCAAGTGATTAATTAAGTATTAATTTGGCAGAAAATGTCTCAAGTTGTCTCTACCAGCGCTGTGGGTTCCTTCCTATTTGGACCGCTTTAAGCAGAAAGGAACAAAGCCACATCAGCTATTGCCAAATTTGATGGAGCAATTCAATTTTGTGCATGAAAACGGTTATGCAGATTTTTGTGCAAATTTCAGAGAATATTCTGCATAGTGGGAGGCAAATTCCTTAAAATTTTCAAAGGAATCTGCACAAAAGTTCTCTTGTAAAAAATAAAATTGCCCGGTTAAATTTGGCGATGACTGATGTGGCTTTGTTCCTATCTAATTAACGCAGCCCATTTTGCATTAATACAGTCAATTTTCTCAGATTTTACTAAGATTACTTTTTTGCAAGGCTATCCTCACAAATTGTCATGGCATTGAAATGAACGAAAATGATCATTTACGCTTGAAAAGCGAAGAAAGAGGAAAAGCATACATACCAAGGATAGATACTCTAGATAGGAACCCTTCATAAACTTTTCGTTTCCGAATCGTTGACCCCATTAAAATACGCCGATAAGAGTCACGATCAATGCCCCACAGTTTGACATCCGTTTTGGCTTTAATAGTGGCTGCTCTGGGTGTGCCATAAATTAGAGCTAATTCTCCAAAACTTCCACCATCCCCAATAGTTGTTGTTAATTCGTTATTAACATACACCTGAAAGTAAAAACATTTGAAATTGATAAAAACTCTGTTACATTCTTAAATTGATATTGAGGAGAATAACTAGGGAAGGTTCCTTGTGCATGTATGTGGCAAAAGTAGGAAAAGATGCATTTCAATTTGCGACACTGCTAACTTTGTATAACGCTTTGTTCTTTGTAAAAACAATTTGTTATCTTTGAGGGAGAAAAGAAAAACTACTCAACATAATTTACTGTAAGTTTTCTTCTCTAGACAAAGTATATTCCAGAAATATTTATACGATGAGGTTTTTTTGTCTTCCAATGAATAAATAAACGGAAAAAAAGAAAAAAACCAAGGAAGGACAGTTTTAAAACTTTTTTGATTGGGTTGAATACTTTTCTAGATTCACTGTCCACATCCAAAAATATAAAATAAAAAAAAAATTAATAACACGTAAAAAAAATATAAATATAAAAGTAAAATATAAAATTCTCCGTCTAAGAACTTGATTTCATGTAAATGAATTATTTAGGATTAATAGAATGGTCATTACGAGTATTTCTGACTTGTAATGCAACCCGAATATTCAAGTTTTTGTTTGTCAGAAAACTACTGCCTTGTTATTATACTTTTGCAGAGAGCTTTTAATCTCAAATAGGTCATTCTACAACAAGGAAATATTCACTGGCATGACAGGATAACAATGAACCAATAGGAACATGATAATGCAAAAATTAGACCTTTCGAAGCCAAGTCTCCACACCAAAAATTCATGCAAATCCGATGATCGTATAGTAACCTTCCAAAAGTTTAAACTTACCTCTACTTCACCTTGATCAATTACATAAAAATTATCTCCTTCATCTCCTTGCTGGATGATCGTTTCACCGGAGACGAAATTGACAGGGAACATAGCATCAAAAATGTCTGATCTTTCATTTTCATCTAAGTGTGAAAATAATACATTTTTTGCGATGGCCTTTGATAGTGCAGCCATGGTTTTGTAGTCTTTCGGCACCACCTGTAATAAAAAAAAAGGAAACTTGAGTTTAGGAACTGAATTTAATAACTTCGAAAGTACTTGTATCTATACATAGAAACTCCTCAATTAATACGGTGGCTCTTGGTCTGTTGGTCAGATGTTTACAAGGCTTAAAGATAAAAGATTCTTTGCACATTTGCCTTATGCTTATCTCAAGGAAATTACAGCATCAGACTCCTATTTCAGTGTATTTTCCTACTTTTCTACCAGTTTTCTTTAGAATATTCTTTCTTTCTTTTCTTATGCTACCGTATCTTCGAAATTTTGCGTTCTCTCTTCCAAAGTTCTTTTTTGGTAAAAAATGTATCTATTTTAAAACAAAATCTGTACTTAAATTGCAGATAGGTGAATGGGCAAAGCTCCGAAAGCACCTCGATTAAAATGAACAAATTCCACTACTACCACTTATCTTCACTATTAAATATTCAAACATTATTCTCTTTTATTCTATTTTTCTTCCAATCCTCTAAATTTTATATTCTTGTTTTTAAGTACTAACTTCCAAATGTATTTATTTTTTTGGTAGCAAATCCTGTGACCTAACGACAGAGATACTAGCAGCCACACTTGCTAAGGTACCGCTTTATAAAAGAATATTACTACTATACTGCTGCTGCTGCTGCTGCCACTACTCGTTTTCTTTGATTTTTACATCATGTGCTATCAGGGCTGACATAATTAGTGCATTATAGTGGCTGTATTCACAAGCAGTTCACTGCGAACATACCCTTGAACTTGCTCTTACGAATTCCTACCTTTTTGACGTAACTTGTGGCATCTTCCTCTGAGACAGGCTCCGCAGAAATTCCGCCTCTTCGCCGTGGGGGTTGCTGGCCTTGAGCTGGAAGGGGAAACAAATCTTCGGTGTCTTCGGGCGACATAGCTTGTAGTTTGGCATCGTGTGCCTGCTCCTGAAAAACAAAGGATAACATTTCACCTGTTAGCGAATAATTCTGAAAATTTCTGTAAACATACTGAGTACATGCCACAGTGAAAATTCTATTTTATATATTTTACCAATGGCTAAAATGTGAAACCACGTATCTCCGTTTGCGACGTTGCAGACTTCCTGTCATTCTCCATGGTTTCCTTGAAAAATGAGTCAAAGTAATTTCTTGGAAACTTCCTTGAATTAAGGAGCTTAGGGGATACGGCGCATAAGCAGGGCCGGATTGAAGGGGTGGCCACATGGGCCGCGGCCCATGGCGGCAAAAGGGGGCGGCAAGCTTTGCGATTTTTAAATTTAGGTATAAAAAAATCGGATTCAGAAAGAAAATTACAAACGAGAAAAAGCGACAAAATCTCTCATTTCCTGAGAGTGCAGTAATTTATAATTTTGTCGTCTTTCAGTGATACAAGAGACAGTACCTTTAATTAGTCGAGTTAAGAGAGAAACCAAACACGCAATTTGGCCTATAGCGGCGCGGCGCAGAGAGCAATGATGACGAGAACTTGAGATGAAAAGGAGAAGCCCTCCCCCTCGGTGAGGCGGTTGGCATGTAGCACATATTAGCGCCTACAAGACTGCATGAATACTTCACGCATTGCGTCAAATACAGTGAGGTCAGCGTGAAACGCATAGCGCCTACAAGGCTGCATGAATACTTCACGCATTGCGTCAAACATAGTGCGTTCAGCGGCGGTCGGCGTGAAACGCATAGCGCCTACAAGACTGTAGGAATACTTCAAGCATTGCGCCAAACAAAGTGCGGTCAGCGCGGCGGCGGAGGTTAAAATTATTAAACCACTTTTATGTTTGTTCTTTCATAATTGTTTCATTCATTTCTTATAAATGGAAGGCTTTGACCACACAGAGATAGGATTACGGAACTTAACTTTCGCGCAAAATTCTGTGAACTTTTGCTAGTAGTGTTGGCAGGTCTTCCGCAAAAAATGTGTCCGACACGAGTAAACGCGTATTATGCACCCCTCCCTCTTCGGCACGTTCACTTGATGGTTTTTATTGATGTTTCAAAACGAATGAGAAGGGGGCTGCAAAATACAGGCGGCCCATGGGCGGCAAGTAGGTAAATCCGGCCCTGCGCATAAGTGCAGTTTTTGAAAAAATCGAGATATTAATGATTTCAAGTAAATCTAGTCTGAATGCATATTCTGAGAAAAATTCGCTACCTAATTCCAATTTCTAAGCATCAAAAAGTCAGTTTGAACTTTCTCTCCGCGATAGGTAAGGATCCATGTAACTTCGAAACCTCAAACACGTATTTTTCGAAATAGAAAAAACTGCACCTATGCACCTTGTCTTCCAAGCCCCTCATTTCACCTGTTAGCAAATAATTCTGAAAACATACTAAGTACATCCCACAGTGACAATTCTATTTTATATATATATTTCCGATGGCTAAAATGCGAAACCACGCATCTCCGTTTGCGACGTTGCAGACTTCTTGTCATATTTTGATTTTGTGTGTGTGTGTGTGTGTGTGGAATTTTACTGATTTTAGTCAACGTAATTTCTTGAGAACTTCTTTGAATTTTCCTCTCTGTTAACAGAACATTCCGCATAAATTTCATGCTATAATGTCGGCTTGTTTCTCTTCGAAAAAATAAGAGAAGAGCGTTTTCAAATACATTAACGGTGAAACTGAAAAAACGCGTAATTCCCACCAACATTTTTTTTAATTAAAAAATACTCGACGTCATTTCTTGAAAACTTTCCGGATTTTTCTTTTCTGTTCGAGAGGTATTCAGTGAAAATCTCAAGCGCTTGTGTTGGTTCGTTCTCCTACGACAAAACAAGATGGAAACTGACATTTTGAAAAATCGCTAAGGAAATACGCCTTTCTGCAGATTCAGCGTCAATATCCTCTCGACTTGATCCAGTGGCGTGGCGTGAATTGCGATGTATCGATTGTCGTGCCATCTAAACCTATGGTAAAGAATCGATTATTAAGGTGTTCGCTGCGAACACCCTGTTTATCGATCCTTTTCCATTGGTTTAAATGGCATAACAATCGATATATCGCAATTCACGCCACGCCACTGACTTGATCCACCCATGACCCCAGGAGGCCGGTCCGGTCAGAACGAACCAGGGCGAGCTCGCAACCCGTGCCAAAGAGGCGAAGACAGGATCAGTGGCGAAGCGTACACGATCGATTATCGATATTTCCCCATTTGAAGCTATGGTAAAGAATCGATTGTTAAGGTTTCCATTGCGACCACTCTATTCATCGATCCTTTTCCATAGGTTTTAATGGCAGATCAATCGATGGATTCAAAAACACGTCACGCCGATGCTGAACCAATGCAAACGATCTGATCTTGTTCGTATACTCTGGGTCATGTCAGTTCGTTGAGCTGACAAAAGGGCGTAACTAAACTCGGCGATAAGCTACGGAAAACGTCGAGTTGCGTGGATTACAGGACTCGTCGTGGGGTGAACTTCCGTCTTTATGTCAGGCAGGTGACAAGTTGCTAACACTAGAACATGTACGAAGCGAGGTGCGCTTTACCTGTCGATGTATACGCCCTGATAAAGGTCACTGCGTTCGTAAATCACAATATAGAGAACTGCCACGCAGTTGCCGTTTATTATCGAAAGGGGTTTTCTCTCAAAATTCATGGCTACCAGGGCCAGGGTGTCGACTCAAATTTCATTTTGGATTTTTCTAACGTAGGTACTCCAGATTTTTCCCGATATATATTGGGGTGGTTTCACGATGGTTAGATGAAAATGCGAACAATATTATCTGAAAAATTGGAAGTAAAATATTCATGAGTTTACCAGGAAATTCGTGTTTTATCAATCGAAATTTGGCAACGCCTGACGGTTCATACGGGGTTTTTCCTTAGCACGGGAGAGTATAACAGGAAAGTCTGCAACGTCGCAAGCGGAGATATGTGGTGCTGCACTTTGGCCACCGATGTGCATCCCCTACAATTTTTTTGAAATTTCATGAAAAATGAAAACTCACTTTCCAGCAAAACGAAATTACATTCTACCGTCTAATTCGAAAATCATAGAATTTTTTGTCTGTTTATCCCGTAAATGAGATAGAGGTGTTGTAAGAGATGTCCGAGCATTGCTGCCAAATTGGGCTTTGAATCCCACGATCGTTCAGGATCATTTTTGAACACACCTCGTTAGACACCTCCGGCCCACGCCGCAAAGAAATCCGAGAGGCCCCTCGTTAAAAGTTTCCCACCTTTGTCCCTCGCACATGCTGTTCTAAGGAAAAATTCCGTATGAACCTTCGGCAGTTACCGAATTTCCATCAATTAAATACGAATTTTCGGGAAAACTCGTAAAGATTTTCCGTTCAACATTTCAGAAAATTTCCTTCGTAATTAGATCTAAATTATCTGAAAATTTCAAGAAAAAATATTCATAACCATCCTTGAAAAATAGTCATTATCCAGGAGGACATTAGGCAGCTCTCGAATGTTCATACGGCGTTATTCCTTAGTACGACAGCGTACGACTTCGCGCATTCTTGTTCTCGCGTTTACTTGCGCGTTTATCGATGTATTTTTAAAATCGAGAGTCTCAACATGGACCAGTTTTCCGAGACCTTTGTGGTTAGTTAGACAAAAATCAAATGGATTGATAAGATATAGCCGAGAAAGTTTAAACGTCACAATAGAGATACTCATTTCTGGGTTTGAGCCATCGATGAATATTCTCCCTGTCGAGTCTCATTCAGAACTGTAACGTCATATGCAGTGGCGTGGTGTGAATTGCGATATATCGATTGTTATGCCATTTAAACCTATGGTAAAGAATCGATTATTAAGGTGTTCGCTGCGAACACCCTGTTTATCGATCCTTTTCCATAGGTTTAAATGGCATAACAATCGATACATCGCAATTCACGCCACGCCACTGGTCATATGTCAGGTGAGGACTCGAACAGAGGTCCCGCTACCCTGTTACACAGTGCGGCACCATGGCATTTTGTGAAAGGGCAAAAGCACAAAGAGGATACCCCGGGATTTTAAGCATAATGCAATTTGCTTCGCACAGAGAGAAGCGAGAAATAAATTCACGTCCATCATTAAAGCCATAGTTTAATTGGAGCAATCGGGGAGGCTCTGCTATGTTTTCATAAGCAATGCTCGTGGGTTTAACGCGGTTAGAGTTAATAAAAAAAGAGCAACTTACTCTGCCGTGCTGAACAAAAATACCGTATGAGACTTCAGGCGTTGCCATATTTCTTTCCATTAAAATCGCATTAAATGGGAAAATTCGGAACATATTTCTTCCAATTTTTCAGACAAATTTCTTCGCAATTTAAGCGATGATATCTGAGAATTGTAAGGAAAAATATGCGTAACTTTCTTCAAAAGTAAATATTTGTTCGGAGGAGATTTGGGAACATCTAAAGGCTCATGCTAGATTTTCCCTTAGCACGGTAGGATTGAGGATTAAACCAGACTACCGGCGCCATCAAAGAGAATACGGAACTATGAGGCGCGAATAAATCCTGGCTCTCTGAACGGATCTCGTCAGAATTTCTGAAGTTACCCCGGGAATGCTCCTCCCTCTTTTTCTTCTTCCTCTTCTTCTTATTCTTGTAATTCTTCTTATTCTTATTTTTCTTCTTCCTCTTCTTCTTATTTTTCTTCTTCCTCTTCATAATATTCTTCTTCATATTATTCTTCTTCTTATTCTTATTTTTCTTCCTCTTCTTGTTATTCTTATTTTTCTTCCTCTTCTTGCTATTCTTATTTTTCTTCCTTTCCTTGATATTCTTCTTTTTCGTCCTCTTCTTGTTACTATTTTTTTCTTCTTCCTCTTCTTTTTATTCTTCTTTTTCTTCTTCCTCTCCTTTTTATTCTTCTTTTTCTTCCTCTATTTCTTATTCTTCTTTTTCTTCCTCTACTTCTCATTCTTCTTCCTCTTCTTCTTATTCTCCCTTTTCTTCTTCCTCTTCTCCTTATTCTTCTTTTT